TCATGTTTCCAGTTTCTTCTTAGCAGCCCAGCTCTATGCCAAGGGCTGATTTATTAGGGTGTATAAGTAGTTGCTCAAGTCCAGAACTGTTTAAGGTTGGTCGAACAATCTCAGTGTACACTAAGTTGAAGATGTACATCAATCACATTTAGTCACAGTTCCCCTGAAAATGATTACAATCAGCGGCAACAAGCACGTAACTGGTAGGTTCTGTTGTATGTTTGCGCGAAATGCTACAGTTTCTCAATAAATGATTTTATCTTACAACGCCGTCTGCAGTTGTTGCTTGTGTTCTTTAAGCGCCATCTCAGCACTTTCATCTCGTTGATTGTTTTCCAGTTTTGAGACCTGATGAAATAAGCGGATAGGTAATTAGCTTGTAACGTGAATAGGTAGAATGGCAGTTCCTGTGAGTTAGCATTATGATATTTGTAGAGTCAGGTTTGGTTCAGGATTCCGGGCTAGTTCAGATAATGTTGCAGTTCTTGTTTCTTCGGTTATCAAAAGTAATACAGAAGGATGAACGTCTTCTTGACTGCAGCATATAGGACTTATTCATAGTGATATTTCTTAACTGCCTTCTTCTCCCATTATTGGTGTTGTATTTTTTTTATGTAGCTCGTTTCTTAATGCCTTCGTTTGCATTTAATAAGCAATAGGGCCGTATCTACTTACCGACTTACCCCTAAATTTCAAACTTTTACAGAAAAGACCTGTTGCATCTACTTATGACCTTTGACATTTTTTAGAGATTGAGGTGTCATTTTACGTGTGGTATTACATTTATTAATAATTACTGTGCGTCGGCGGCACAGTGGTTAGGACTCTCGCCGACCATGCACATGGTCCGGGGTTCGAGCCCACGCCGGCGCACACCTGATATCTATGGTCGGCCTGCAAAATTTGGGCTACCGATATCCATGCTGAAAATTCCATACTTGTACCAAAAATACAGTGTGGAATCAAGCTGTAAATCAAAAAAAAAAACTATCATCTAAGAGTTAGATATATAAAAACCAGTGATCTTCAACATAAGGGCATGTGCATATGCTAGTTGTCGTAGTTGTTGCCAGAAGTCACTTGGACATGTTTTATGTTTTAAATCACGAAGCTGCTTTCATTTTCCATAGAAGATGCTTTTAATTTAGAATCAGACTGTTTAAATAGGAAAAAGCTAATTATAATCCACAAAACAGATTGAAAATAATCTCAATAGCCAGTGTACAACTTTCATCACCAACCTATTTGCGGGAATTTCCTTATATGTAACTGAATTAATAATCATATTAGAGGGCATAGGAAGCCACCAAAAGGTCGATTAAATACTGACAAAGCAGACCATTAAAATGTATAATATGAGAATGTATATTGGGGAATTACTGAGACATTAGATTGAATAGTCTCATAGATAAGTTTCAAAATCTAACTAAATGTATTTAAGTTAACGATAACCATCTTCTACTCGTGAGTTTTGTGTAATAGCTGAAGTAATAGGTAATTCTTTATCCGACTGCATCTTGACAACACTTCAACAACAACGTTATGGTCAGGGTTACGATAAAAGTACTGGAAATCTTTGCGTTCGCTTTTACGGTACATGTAAATGGCAGTCTTTAATTAATCTGAGACCTGTTTATTCATGTTTAAAAAAAGTAAATTCATATTATTTGAAGTGCCAAGGGTAACGTTATCTGTAATCTTTGCTTTACTAGCACAGTAGAGCTAATCGATGTAAATTTTGTAGAAGCATAGTTGATTTTTAAACCATGCTCCACATACTGATGTAGTGTCTACCGAATAGCTTTTTTAAATAGAATATATTACTTGCAATCACACTAATTAATCCTGTCAATCTGATATGTTTATAAACAGTTAATTATACTTAAAATGTCATCTTGTAAATAATGCCTTATCTTAGTACACTGTAGCAAAAATAAATAAGCTAAGGCGAAATCATTCGATTATTTTACCTAAATGATAACTTCCTGTGTGGGAGTATGATTTAATGGATCTAGCTTGGATCTATCACCTACTTCACTCTGAGCGATTGGGTAATAACACCCATCCCTACACTGTATATATGTCTCAGCTTAGTACATGAAAAGTAAAAAAAAAGCTTTGAATAGCAACACGCCTCTGTGTGCATCATATCTTCGAAATAGCCATATGACAGATACCAATTTCAGGATTTCATCATGAACTGACATCAGTTAGAGGACCATTCGAAAACAGCAGAGAGTACTGGACAGCTGTTTCGTCCGTCTAGTTTGGGACTCTTCAGCGATACACACCCAATGACAGGGTTCGAACCCAGGACCTTCTAGTTACAAGGCTAGCGAGCTCGTAGACCATTAAGCCACTAGGACCCGATCCAATGGCCAGCCCATGAATTCCAACTTCTGCCAGTTCACGATATGGTCCGATCACTTGAACATCAATCTGATGCTCATTAATGACGCCCTATTCAGTTAAGTAATTACCTGAGTGAGAAGTCGTGTCCACTGGGGTACAGCAGGTTAGGTGTGAGGACAAATACTCGCGCTAACCTTCGCTTTAGTGGTCGCGACATATCATGGATTGGCAAAAGTTGGTGTTCATGGGCTGGCCATTCGATCGGGTCCCAGTGGTTTAGTGATCTCCGAGCTCGCCTTGTAACCTCGAGAAGGTCCCAGGTTCAAACCTCAATGGGTGTGTAATGCTGAAGAGTCCCAAACTAGGCTGATGAAACAGCTGTCCAGTACTCCCTGATGGTTTTCCATTGGTCCTTTAACCGATGTCAGTTCATGATGAAATCCTGAAATTAATCAATTCCATCCAAATCAACATTTAAATACCAATTTCCTCAAAATATTGAAGCATATATTCTGCTCTATACTTCTTATGTGTTTTTGTTAACGAGTGTTTCTGAGTGTGTTGCATCTGTAGGTCCACTTCGTCATACTGTTCATTTTATTTTCAAATATTATCAGAATAAGTTAATTTTGTTAAGTTGATGCTTATTTTTTTTTTTTTGTTTTGAAATGTCATGGACATCGAGAAATACATTACATAAAGTAGTATTACAAAAAATAAAACAGAAGCAAAGTCAGTAGTAAGGAAAAACTTACTGTCGGTATTTAAATCATTTCTTAACAAATAACTGAAAATTCAAAGGAAATATCGGACCCCATGCTTGGTGAAAGCTTATGAGCAAATACGAAGCTAGCTGTGAAGGTCTGATGAGAACAGGGTGAATTAGAGATATACTGCTAAAACAAGCACCAATCATCACTATTAAGGGAAAAAATTTAAGAGAGGTCATTTCCTTCACTTGTCTAGACAACGTCCTTTCAACTACAGGCGATAGGTCTGTCTGTCTGTTTTCGACATAGAACTTTGCACAAATGTGCGCCAGTTCAAGTCGCCACACTCCGTGTAGCACGCGAAGCAAGAGAAGAAAGTACAAGAAAAGCATAATAAAAACAGTGAGCAGAGGTATGAGACAAAGGAGTAATAAAGAAAAACAAAACAGTTTCATTGGTGGAGATCATATGTCACAAGGAGTGGATGCATCTGCGCCACTGAGAACGATTTTGAGCCATGTCACCAATTGTTTCCAACCATAGATTTTTACCGTCCCGAGGACCCCAGCCTGGAAGTCTACACCTTCCTACGTGGCTTAGATCGACTGTTGTGGATTTCATTGACTGGTGAGGCCAAGTTTTTGTTTGACCACCGCTAGCTTTTTTCCAGCCTGACCCTATATCCGCTAACATTGCTCGTCGAGGGAGGCGATGGCTTGGCTTACGTAACACATGTCCTAACCATCTCAGTCTTTGTAACTTCACGACTTCGTCGATTGATTTCCCCTGTTTACCTAAAACTCTACGCCTAACCTCAATGTTGCTCACCTTATTATGCCACTTTACACGGGAGATAGAACGCAGGCACCTATGATCAAAGACAGCTAGTCTTTTCATGTCTTCCACTCTCAGTGGCCAGGTCTCACAGCCAGCCATAAAGGAGGACGGAGCGGACTGATGAGCAGTACAGGCGATAGGTACGGATGAAGATGTCAAACCCGGAGTCGGAAAGGCAAAGCATACCCTTATCACTCTCTTGTACTCAGCATAAACAACAAGATTGGGATTTATCGAAACAAATGTGAAATCAGTCAGTCGGTTCTTCTATGTGTGTCTGAAACTTGGCGATTGTGTCATGAAAAGCATTCCCAACAGGCTTCGGAAAACTTTTATGAGCAGCTACCCTCTTTACTGGCGGCTTCATAGCGAAGATCAGATGACTGGCCAAAAAGAATTAGCTGCAGGGAACTCCAGAAATGATGAACCAATCAACAACTTATTGCTCGACAAATGTGCCTTAGAAAATGGAGGTGGATAGAACACGCGCTGAAGAGGACTGTTGGGTGACATTGTGCGCAATACAGGTCATCACTTGAGTGGAAGCCGAATGACAAACAACGAGTTGGGCGTGAGTCTGACAGTGACATGGAGGAGACTGTGTCAGGAAGAGATGAAAACTTCATGAGAAGTGTTAAGGTCAGCTGAAGGGAAATGCAGAGAACCGGATAGTATGGGAATGTGCTGTTAACGTCCTATGTTCCAATCGGAACCCAAGGGAATATTAATAATATTAATGATAACAGTACTATAGATTCCAGTTCTTCGCCATCCGAGGTTTGTCTGTAATCATGTTACAAGTCGAAACAATTTCTGTCAATTCTCCAGTTAGTGTTAACTTTTACTGGGATCTATCAGCTGAACTTTATTATAATTAAAAAAGGAATTTTTTGAATAAGCGTGCATCATTAGTTCAGTAATCGATATCATCCCAGCAATTATATGTACTATAGATTCACTTATGTGGCTCACTTATTTAAGCTGTATTATTAACGATAGAATATGCTCATCTCACTGCTGAACCCCTAAAGTCAATATATGAAACGTTTACTGGTTTTGTGCATTCTGTCTAATTTAAATATCTAACTTTTGATGTTTTAGGCTGTACAATTAAAGTCACATACTGAGAGCCTTCGATCAGTTTTTAACAAGGTTAGATAGAAATTGATTTTTTTTGCTGTTTTTGTTTCGATATTACTGATTTATTTTGATTATTGTTATAATGGAGTGATGTACACACTGGGCTGTGGATTTGTTTAACTTGACTAGAATATGCCTCTAATATCCTCCGATACTACATTTAACTGATCAGTTGATGAAAATATCTCCCACACTGAGATGACTGATACAAATCCCTCAGAAAATTAAGCCATAAGTAAAAAGAATAAAAACTGTTCAATAAGATTATCACGTCAGTACATGCATAAATCACGACTTCGCAGGTAACAAAGGAGCTTGTCCGTTCTGTGGTATGATGTTTAGAAATGAATTTGTCTTTTCGTACATGTTAAATGGGTGTGTCACTGAAGACAGAATATTTCAAGTATTGGTTTTTTGTAGGGATTTTGTTTGATTGGTTGAAGGATTTCATCATTAACTGACATCAGTTAGAGAACCATTGGAAAACCTGTAAGGAGCACTGGAACAGCTGTTTCGTCAGCTTAGTTTGGGACTCTTCACCAGTACGCACCCATAGCCGGGGTTCGAACCCACTACCTTGTGGTTACAAGGCTAGCGAGCTCGTAGACCATTCAGCCACTCACTGGGACCCTATCCAATGATCCATGAATTCTACCTTCTACCAATTCATGACATAGCTCAACCAATTTGCAATATCTTCTTCGATGAGTAACTGCCTCACCTTCAACCTGCTGTACCCTACTGCTCGTGACTGAATAGGACCAGTCGTTAGTGAACATAAGATCGATTTTCAAGCCTTGTTTCTTTTTGTAGGGATTCTGTTTGGTTGATTGGTTGGAGGATTTCATCATGAGTTGAAATATTTCATCGTCAAATCTTATCATTGTTCTAGAAAAAAACGATACAATATCTTTATCGGTATCGTATTAGTTTTATGGTAGAAAGTCTTTCAAGATGCGGTCACTCGCTTAACTGGTACCAAAAATAGTAGTAGGTCGGTCATTAAAGGTATGCCTAAAACATTATCCGCTTAGAAATGAAGCTGGTTGATGACTGTTCAAAGGTTAGCTTCATCGTGGGTGGGTATTCGCCAAGAGATCTGTTGAAAACCGAAAAGCATAATTTTGTCCCTGTACAGGCCTCTTCAGTAGTCCTTACGCACGAGCACGTGGGGGTCAAGACAAGAACTGTTAAATCCTGAAGTAAGCCAATGTATTGGATTGCTGACAATATTTATTGATATGAGATGCCAGTATATAGTTATTTCAAGAGAATTTTTAGCTTTAATACTTCAATCTGAAAAGTATATCTTATTAACAACCGACTGTTCCTGAGCTACGTAGGAAAAAACACAGTGGAAAAATAAGGTAGAATGTTTTTACCAATGAACTGCACCTATTTTTTTGAAACTGATCTTGCAACGACAGAAGACAACGGCCAGGCAACAGATCGTTTATTGAGGAAATCAACAGATATTTATGGATTTTCATGTAAATTATTATTCATTATTATTAACGGAGGAACAGCGTCTTCTGATTGGTCGTTTTCTCACTGGAAGTTATTCTGTCATCTCTTTGTGGGCGTTTGTTTTTGAAGGTCAGACCACGTATCTGTGGATCGTATCCGCCCACGCAAAGCCTTTGTTCTTGTTTTTCTCATGACCAAGATTTGGGAAGTGTAAACATTGACGTAAATTGCTGTCCAGCAATTTTGGCTAGCAGACAGCTCTCACCACAATCTTTCTATCTGTCCGGTCATCAACTGTTAGCACTTCCATACCATTGGTAATGAACACCTATTCATAGTGGAGGCTAATGATACTATCAAGCTACCCGCACACTTGAATTGGTGGGAGTGCGTTTCAAACTGGCGAAATAAACTGTTGGAAGTTGAACGCACAGACACACCTAATCCAATTGTACCACTCAAATCTTATTAGATGGAATGAAATTTTCTAGTATATGGATGAGCAATGGTCAGATCATTTTATCTTGTAATTTTGAAAACTTATCATTTCGTCAGCTGTAACATTTTATCATTATTATTATTATTCCTTTTCCATTTATCTCCTTTAGTATGCGAGTGTTAACACTAATGGACAATTGTATATGACACCGAAAGACTTTGTTGTCAGATATTTACATTTATTCGATGAAGAGAATTATAATGATTCATCGGTGGCTTGTATTGCCAGTGCTGCAGATACTGCGAAAGATGGGTAACTAAGGTTATTATAATCTAATTTCTTTGTTTGTTTGTTTTCATTTGGTTCTCTACGTTTAATATATTGCTGTTAACTAACTGCTTTGATTATAGGTTACAGGGAAATAACACAAACTTCTGTCCATTCATCTATATGATAAAAAAGGTAGATCAAGGCACTCTACTCGAACTCATGCAGTCAGCCATGTGAGAGCTTTTGGCGAGTTGTCATCTGAAGTGGCGGTGACAACTAGTAGTGTCCGATAGAGATGCCCATTATCCCCATGTCTATTCAATTTCATCATAGATTTACTGATGGAATTAACCCTGACTGACTTCAGAGACTCAGGGATTGATTTGTTACCATCAGGGAATAATCTCGTTGACTTAGAATATGCAGATAATATAGTTCTGCCTCCTAGGTGAAGACGCTAACAAAATGCAAAGTCTTGTGAACACATTGAGTTGCAATCGGCTAATGTTTGACATGCGATTCGCTCCCGCCAAATGCAAGGTGATGTGGCTATAGGACTAGAATACACTGACACCTAGCTTAGAAATAGGGAGTGAAGTAGTGGTTGGCGGAGCGTGTTGACCGCTTCACTTATTTGGGAAGTTGCATCAGCCAAAGCCAACGGGTTGATCTCTGACGAAATCTCTGCACGGATACAGAGGGCTAGTTTCGCATATGCCAGTTTACGCCGTCTCTGGCGTAGACGTAATATCCGACTATCGATCAAAGGGCGGGTGTACTGCTCATCAATCCGCTCCGTCCTCCTTTATGGCTGTGAGACCTGGCCATTGAAAGTGGAAGACATGAGAAGCCTGGCTAGCTCTCTTTGATCATAGGTGCCAGCGTTCTATCTTCCGTGTTAAGTGGTATAATAGGGTGAGTAACATTGAAGTTAGGCATCGAACGAGTGCTAGGTAAAGAGGGGAAATCAGTCGATGAGGTTGCGAAGTTACATCGAATAATAGGGTTAAGACATGTGTTACCCATGTCTGCCTACCCATCACTTTCCTCGACGGGCAATGTTAGCTGACATAGGGTCAGCAGTCCACTTGTTATATGCATGTGAATTATTTATCCAAAGTGATTAATTTAAAAGACGGTTGCAGCGAAGGGAATTCTTTTTTCGGCGAAGTCAGCGTCGACTAGGCTGTACATTCGTGTACGTGGGTGAGAAAGTCCTAGAACTTTTTCCAGTCAAAGGTCAAATTAACAAAATTACAAAATGTAATAAACAGGAAAATCGGATAAAACACAGTCCAGTAGTAGAGATAGGAATTATTAAAAAGAATGTAAAAATAATTGAAATTAACAGGAAGTTTGGATAATAAAGGTAATGGGATAATCGTTATTGAAAGGACTGGCTTTTTATGATGGTCATGTTTGGGATAACAGTCGAACGTATCTCTTTTAAATGCATTTATTATTATTGCTCCCTTGGGTTCCTAGTGGAACATAGGGCTTCAACTGCACGTCTCCGCTTGCTTCTGTCTTCTGCTGTACTTTTCACCTGCATCCATTCATGTTAGTCCTTACTTTTTCAACTCCTCTTCACACGATATCCTCCATGTCACCCTTGCACCGACGTCCCACTCGCCTCTTCCCTTTCGGATTCCACTCGGGGGCCTGACGCGCGATGTCAGTAACCGGCCTCCTCAGCGAGTGTTAGATCCATCTCCACTTTCTCCCACATATTTGTTGGTTGGCGATTGGTTCTTGTTTTGTTCGTTCCCATAGTTTCTTGCTGGTGATTCTTTCCGGCCCGGCCATCTGATCTTCAGTATATATCCAGCGAAGACAGTTATTGATAAAGGTTTGCATAGCATGGGCTATTACCTTTCTTATCCAACCTTCCTGTTTATTTCTGTTATTTCCACGTTTTTAATCTCCAATCGCACAAAAAGTCTAGTTTTGCAGCAATTATGTGATCCTATTGTCTTTTTCATCTGATCTTCCTGTCTATTACACTTTACCGCGTTTTATTAATTTGACCCTTGACCGGAAATAGTTCCGGGACTTTCTCACCCATATACCACATATACACACATCAATGTAACAGCCTAGTTGACGCTGACTTTGTCGAAAAGAAAATTTTCTTCTCGGCTGCAACCGTCTTTGTTAATAATTCCTATGATGTAATGTGATTAATCCAAAGGGCTTCCATCACTTTGAATTAAAGTTATGTGGAATAACGAAGAAATAGTCACTAATATTGATTTTGTGACCAGAAATCTGTGGATGCTTTGCAATGGATGATGGTGCTGGATTTCTTACGTCACTGAATAGTAACTTAGGATGCTGTGTCACCGCGATTGCTGAGGAACTTGTAGGTACACAGTGTGAAGTAAAGTCCATAGAATTTCATCGTTGACTTTTAGACACAGTGCAGTTGAAAATGTTCAAAATGTAAGAAAAAAGAAATGCGAAGTAGAATGCGAACTTGGTAGACAAACCAAAGCCTTTGACTTGTGAATTGCATGATTTGATCACCCTTGAATAATAATAAAGACAGTTTTCTTTGATGCGGAGGCTGTCTTTTCATGGGACAGTCTCTCCTTACTGTGTCATATATAATGAAGTTTTCAGGATATCCACTAGCCAACAAAACCGAATGTGAATATGCAGTGTGTAGCCTAGCTCATCCATTAATGTACCATGTTTACAAATTTTATGGTCCTTTGAAAATAAGTTTTTCCCTAGGAACATTCATACTGGATAGATACAAGACTGCTGAAATGACCGACAGATAGCTGGTACCTTGATGTGGTGGTCACTAGGCTTGCATATCGCAATGACCCAACAGGCTACACTGGCTGGAACTAATGTTCCTCTAGGTCCTACCATGCCAGGAAGACTGTCAGGATAGCGATTAGACTAAACGCAGTTAGCAGCATAGTTTAGGAATTTCTTTTACACTATGCTGGGGCGTCTGTGGGCAAAATCGTACTGCTGAGGAATAAGGATGTAACAGCAGTGAGGTGTTTTCCCTCAGATGACCAGCATGCTATCTCCACTCTGGAGAGTGGGGTTTAGAAAAGATCAACCTGAAAAATCATAGATTCCAACTTACCCTACGGTGGTCTGTAGCCGACGGTAAGTTACTAATACGGAACCAAACCAAAAAGCCATTTCAAGAAAGCCGTGTGTGACCGACCGGCCTCAAGCACTTATCTCCTGAGCTCTACGGTCACACAACACTAATTCTCTTCCTGTTTTAGTTACTGTAAGAAAAAATCAACTTCCAAGGACAGGGCAGCCGGGAAGTAACAACCACCCGCACACACTTCCAAAACCACACAAAGTCCTTCTGATCATCGTTCTCCTTTATTCCTGTCACCCTCATCATTGTGCTTTCCTACTACTGTTAGTACTATTCTTCAGTCAGCTGAAATGAAGATATTGTCTACTGCACATATGTGCTTGCAAAATGTGCGTCTCTTAGATTGTTCCGTTCCTAAACTACTAACTATCAGAGACTACACTAATAATAGTGATAATACTAATCAAAATATTGAAATTGAAAAAACAGCCATCATTTTTATCCTGACTTTTTCGCTTAAATTCTTTTGTCATTAAGTTAAGTATATTCACTTAATTCATGAGACAATTCACGCAATTACTTCAATATGCCCTGATTTTAAAAGTCCACTTGGCCATTAAAAAAAACAACAACATTGCTTTATGTTTACAAGGTACATACGTCTACAAAATAAGCTGAAAGACAAGACAAAGACATAGAAAGACTTTTGACCTTTTTGGTCAATGTTATATTATACGTGTATTATTGAAAATGATAGTTGTGACGACTATAATCTCTCACATACATGTATTTATTGACTATTTTTGATTGATTTATTGATTGATTGTTTAGTTAATTGGTCACTCTGTCTGGTTTTTTGTAATTATATTGTCTAAGTTCTATTGATAAAATCTATAATATAAAATAGTGACTTTTCTGTCCTACTGTGAATGATTACTAGTCATTCACAAAAAGCTAAAATGTACTCATTTTCTCAGCTGTGTGTGTTTCCCTTTGGTGTAGAAGGAATTGTTTTTCGAAAAGCACGATTGAACATGCATTTACTAATATGCCTTTGCTCAAAACAGTTGACATTTTGTGTGATTATATTTCCACAAACAATTTTTTCATCCCGTTCCCTATATCTTATTTGAGGGATTTATTACTTCTATGTACTAGCAATGTTAGGTTTACATTTGAAGGCGATTATTTCCGCCAGGTTGATGCTGTTGCTATGGGAAGTCCGTTAGGGCCCCTTTTGACAGATATCTATGTGTCGTACACTGAGAGTTTATCGGAAGATTTAATCGAAAATGTTCCACTTCATAGAAGATATGTTGGTGACATTGTAATCATAAGTGATAAGCCTTGTTCTGCCACTTCAATTTTAAATCGAATGAATGAAGTTCAGAATGGCATATCACTTATATCTGTAGAAGAGGAAGGTAATTGTTTATCTTTCCTAGACATATTGCTTAGTCGATGACTTGATGGGTCAATAAAAAGATCTATTTATAGAAAACCTACCTGGATAGAACAGTATCTTAATTATCACAGTTTCTGCCCTGTTCGGTACAAAAGAGCCTTAGTAAGGTGCCTCTTCATTAGAATCCAACGAATATGCACCGAAGGCACCCTTCATGAGGAAGAAAGATAATAATTATCCAGACAAGTTCGTCAGGAGATACAAAGTATTCAGAACTCCAAGACCCACTCTACAACTCTCCCCTAAGAAAGGTATGTACATCAAGCTACCCTATATGGGGCATTATAGCAGCTTGATAACTAGACAAAGACTGAACGCTGCTGTTAAAAAGACTTTTTATGCAGTTGATATCATAATATTAGAGAATATAAAGCCAATATATCTATCTAAGCCCTTCAAACATGCGAAAAATGATGTCACATCTCACTGTATTTGTCAGTTTGAATGTACGCGTGGACATGCATACATACATAGGGAGGATTCATCGATCTCTGCAAGTAAGGGCTTCAGAGTATATTCCTAAATGGCTCCAGAAACAAATGGAATCTTCAGAACCCATTAATGGTGAGAACAGGAGACCTAGCTCTTCTGTTGCGAAACATATTATAGAGACAGGACATAAAATTGACGTTAACAGATCTTTTATAGCTATCTATAAAACGTGTTTGGGGCGTATCCTAAAGTTTGTGGAAGCCCTAGCAATTAGAAAGTTTAAGCCACCTTTATGCGTTCAGAAACAATTCGTCATCACATTAAACCTTCCTTGTTCAATTTTGTTTTGATACCATAGCAGATGTACTATTACCTCTGCTATTTGGTTTAGTGGTCTTCATTGTTATTTTGACCTTCAATGTGTGATTTCAACTTTACCTAAGTCTATTTTCTCACCTCTTAACTCTTTATTAATTTCATATATATATATATATATATATTCCTATGACAAGTCTGTGGAGTGTGATCAGATTGTTCGAAATATGTTTCGCGCGCAAATACATTACACGATTCATACAAATTACGCCTTCTTATTGCTTTGTCTAATTGAAAACAGTTACCTTGAAAAGTTCATCAACAAACACACGACAAAGAAAGTAGAAAAGTAATTCTTCTGTATCTGTTGTTAACAAGAAGCCTCTGTATGTGTATATGACTACAGTTCAAAGGGGGATATACTAAGTGAAATAAATAGTCAGCAAGTTGAGCGGATCGATTCTGAGGAACTTTAATGCCAGTAAGCTGCAACTCACGTTGTCCAACCGATTGGTTATGATTCTCAAACCGAAAGACCGAGTATTCAAGACTAGCCACTTCCCTTACTGTATTTATCAATTCAATTGCTCCTACGGAGCTAGTTATATTAGTCGTTGCTCTAACATTTTCGTGCTCAGAAACACCATACTCACCAATGTGTATCTGAATAAAGGTGTTGTTAAAACCATCAACAGTTCTGTGTCAGATTACCTCGTCCAAACAAGACAGAAAGCTAACTGGCCACATTTAAGAGTTCTTCTCTATCGCTTATTGCGTATTGAACAAATTACGAAAGGCTTCTAGATACCGAGTATTTCAAATAGCAGAGGCCATTTCAATTCGTCTAAATCAACTGAAGCTCTGTATGCAAAAGAAATGGGTCCAGTCACTATTGTTACCCTGACCTTCTGTTGAACTTATAAATTCTGTAGTACTGTAACAACAGAAGGCAAGGGCCAGGCAACAGATCGTTTATTTACGAAATCAACAGATATTTATATATTTTCATGTACATTATTATAGATTATTGTGAGCAAACAAAAACACAGTCTTCTGATTGATTGTCTCTCATTGAAAGTTAATCTTTTATCTCTTTGTGGCTGTTTCTTGAATGTCAGATCATTTATATGCTAACTGTATCCGCCTACGCAAAGTCTGCTGTGGTTGATTGGTTGTTGAATCAGTCTTTGTTCATATTTTCTCACGACCAATATTGGGGACATAAACATTGACGTAAATAATTGTCTACCAATTTGACTAGCAGCTTGCTCTCACCACAGTACTACTTCACTTAACTTATGTGATATTCAATTCGGTGTTATATTAATGCGTATTGTCTCTTTCTTACTGGTACTTTTGAAATGTTATCTATCGATAGTACTGATGTAATGTAATTTAAGGTAACATGAATGTTGTTAATAAGAGTATTTCTTCAATTATTACTGTCATGCCAATGTAGAATCTAATGAAGAAGAAATCGGAAAGAATATTCTTTGTTCATTCATCAGTCTTTCAAATTTCTAACTGGTATCTTCAGTGAGTGGTAAATATATGCTCTCCTATATTCGCTTGTGAAAAAAAAATAACAAGCTAACTGAAGGATAACAAATGAAATCATTAACCCGTGGTTATCTAAGCTACTTCTTTAATTAATGAGACAACTTTAATGTTGAGAATTCAGTTCATCAATCAATTGACAACTTGTACGTTTATACACCTGATCAGTGACTATCTAACAAAAAAAAACTAATCTTTCAGGCCACGGATTGATATCAGTTAGCGAACCAGCATTGGATTACTGGACAGCTGTTTCGTCCACCTAGTTTGTGGGACTCTTTGGCGATTCGCACCCATCTCCAGGATTCGACACCAAGACCTTCCAGGTTACAAGGCGAGCACGTATACCATTCAGCCACTGAGACTCGATTCGATGGCCCTGGATGCTCGCTAGTGACTGGTTACAGAACGAAGTGAGTTGCCTGGAGTTGAAGTGAGAAGTCGCGACCACTGAGGTCCATCCAGTCGAGAGTGAGGATGAAGTTCCCACCGTTGACTTTGGTTGGTGCCAGTTGCGCTAAAATCACAAATTGGTAGAAATTAGAATTCATGATTTGGCCACTGAATCACGTCCCAGTGGCTGATTGTTATACGACCTTGCCTTGTATAAGAATAAAACTTGTGCACTGTGGTAGAGTGTAATTCCATTATGGGTAAATTTTGTTTTGATATGTTTTGATAAATTCTCACAGTGTTATACAGTAATGTTTACTGATGACGTTTCGAGCACAATTTATTGCTCATAATCATATCAAGGTAATCACACGACTTCCTAAATTCATTTATATAGTTCCATTGTTTTTCTCTTGATTTTCACTTGATTTGATTGGTAATAGTATTTTCCATATTTCAGGTATGAGTGACGAGTCATTCCTATTGCATGTGTTGGGTGTAGACTCGATGAACAAGGATTCAGTAATCAACCTCTCTCTCCACCTACCTAGATTACTTTTTAGAATTTTAACCCTCTCCCACCCTATTGTGTGGTTGTGTGTTAGCACATGCATTGCAATTGCTGAGCTTTTTTCTAAATTACTTCTTACCTTAGTTAAATTCTTATGTCCTGACAATCTGATTACCCGCAATCTACTGGTTTGACCTATGTAGTTCAGCTAACTCACAGTGATTGCAGGGTATTTTGTAAATGATATTATTTTATCTAATTGGGTCAACTGGGTCCTTTAACCTACAGAGCTTGTCCCTGAGTGAGTCTGTAGGTTTAAGTGCCACCCTAATTCCTATTTTATTCAGAATCCTACGTAGTGTCTCGGATGTCCCCTCTTTATATGGTATAATTGTGGATGACTTATATTCTCTCTTATTTATGTTATTATTACTAGTTTCACAATTATTTTTATTTTGTTTTTGGCCTTTAATGAACTTTTTTAATGAATTTTATAGGATAGTTATTCAACACCAACGCTTCTTCTATCTGTTTTAATTCATCATTTAGATCTTTTTTTGTGCTACTTAGTGCCACTGCTCGGTTTGTTAAACATTTAACTAAGCCTGCCTTAACAGTTAAAGGATGAGACGAATTAAAGTCTAAATATCTATTAGAATGCGTCGGTTTTCTATAAACACTAGTGTGTAGTTTGCCTTCTTCTATTCTTTTTATCTTACAATCTAACATAGCTAATTCTTTTTGCCTTGTAACCGGCAGGTCGTGAGTTCGAAAGGTAGCGGTGGGTGCATGCTACCGACAAATCTCAAACTAGAATGAAACAGCCGTCCAGGATTGAAGTGCTGGTTTTCACTGCTTCTCTCACTGATATCAATCCATGGTCTAATATGAAACAAATAGAATCCCTACAAACTAATTCTTGATATCCAATCTTTATCACGAAAAGTTGTGAATAATCATCAAAACTATTTGCAAGAGTTAATTTTATAAGAATATGATTCGTTTCAAGCTAGCTCTTGAAAATTAATCTGATGCTGATAAAATGAAGTTACGTGATATTCTAGTGTGAAGTCGTCGCCAGTGGTTGGTCTTCCTAGTTGGTTGCGGAAATAAATACTTTCCGATGATATTTACTGTTTAGTTGTGCTATATATATATCGTGAAATGGACAGAAGTTAAAAATTATTTAACGGGTATCAAATTCTGTCCCACTGGCTGAAATGGTCAATGGCTTTCACCTCTTAACCTGAAGGCCCTGGGTTCGAACACCAGTACCTGAGAAGTCCTGAATTTGGACGAAATATCTACCTGTCCAGTACTCCCAACTGGTTTTCAATGGTTCTCTAGCTGATATCAATCGGTGATCAAACTTGAATAAAGACTATATGGACACGCTTTATATGTATGATAAAAGATAAGATAAGATGGGGCATTTCGAATGGTGTATGCAATAATTGTAATATTTCTTTACTAGTAGATAACTAACATCGTAAGTTGGTTTGTTCATTGTTGTGTATCTGAACTTGTCTCCTAATCTTCTACATGTTATGAATCGCGCCTTCACTAAGGCGGTGTCAGTAAATGAGAAGTGTATAAATTCTTCGCCTTCTTCTGTTTTTGATTTTTGGTAAATATAATTGACTGTATATTTATTACGTAATGGCATTTTGTTTTTCTTTCTCCCCACCCTCTTTTATTAGACTGATTTCATTTGAAGAATTTCTTGCCTTTGAAGCACTTCTTTGTACTTGTGATTCTTTGTATACATGGGCTTTTGAATTATTCAATCGAGATGGTCACGGAAGTATATCATTCGGTAAGTAGGATGAAGAATGGCCAAGAATGACGCCTTTTTTGGTTTTATAGAATCCATTCTTGTATACTTCTTATTGATTGGTACAGATAGAGTATGAGAGTCTTAGATTGGTGGTTATACTCTGGAGAATGGACTTTGTACTTGTCATGAAGGCGTATCTGCTTATTTCCTCACTTAGTTTTGAACTGACATCATTCAAGGACTACAATCAGAGATGTAACTATTGAAAAATACTCAGGCTCCTGATTGAGCTTCGATAGGACTGTAAATGGTTACATTGATGTACTGACTGAATTCTTTCCATTATTCAGTTGAAGAATCTATTCAAAATGGACACGGTAAAGTTGAGTCATGCAAGTTCGTGACTGGCCATATTAGAAACCTGACTGGTAGAATTCAATTTGAACAAGGCATTAAGAAGACAAATTTCGCGAGATGATATCGTCATTTCGTAGTTTCTTTACAACCGCTTTACAACTAACACGGTTAACAATGATAAAATAAAGTTCATGAAAATTACTCAGTTAAATAAAAACAAAAGTACATACTAATGACCAATCATATTTAGATAGGTCATGTTGTCCATGGTAGGCGAAGATTGAAGTCTATTAATTTTTGTACACATAGTTTAGGCTGTATGTGATTAATCCAAAGTGCTTCCATCACCTTCAATAACCTTGAATTAGGGTTATGTGAAATAATTGTGAAGTAGTCATTAATATTTATTTTGTGACCAGACATTAATAAGTGTTTTGCAATGGATGATGCTGGATTTCTACTAAGATTAATCGCGTTAGGATTTTCGATATGATTCACTAGCCATTTTGGAATATGTTCTTTTCGACGACATTGGAACATTCTGTTAGTTCTACCTATATAGGTGTCATCGCAGCTGCAGGTGAACTTGTAGATACAGTTTGAAGTCGAGTCCACAGAATTTCGTCCTTTAATCGTAGGAACAGGGATCGAAAATGTTCGGCAACACTTATTAATGTCTGGTCACAAAATAAATATTAATGACTACTTCACAATTATTTCACATAACCCTAATTCAAGGTTATTGAAGGTGATGGAAGCACTTTGGATTAATCACATACAGCCTAAACTATGTGTACAAAAATTAATAGACTTCAATCTTCGCCTACCATGGACAACATGACCTATCTAAATATGATTGGTCATTAGTATGTACTTTTGTTTTTATTTAACTGAGTAATTTTCATGAACTTTATTTTATCATTGTTAACCGTGTTAGTTGTAAAGCGGTTGTAAAGAAACTACGAAATGACGATATCATCTCGCGAAATTTGTCTTCTTAATGCCTTGTTCAAATTTATCAAAGGGACTAATTGTTTTAATTGGTAGAATTCAGTCTGCACTACAAAATGAGGAATAGATACATGATATTATTTTTATATTATTTTTGATAACAGCTTGATTCCACACTGTATTTTTTTGGTACAAGTATGGAATTTCAGCATGGATATCGGTAGCCCAAATTTTGCAGGCCGGCCATAGATATCGGGTGTGCGTCGGCGCGGACTCGAACCCCGGACCATGCGCACGGTCGGCGAGAGTCCTAACCACTGTGCCACCGACGCACACTGATTACGCCCTAGTAACCAATCAATATATAGCTTGATGACCTTTTAGACTTTTCAGGATTTCATCATGAATTGATATCGGTTAGCGGACCATTGGACAACCAACTAGGGAGTACTGGACAGCTGTTTCTTCCTTCCTAGTTCCGGACTCTTCATCAGTGCACACGCCTACAAGTCAGCCCACTACGAATCAAACTCAGAATCTCCAGGCTACTAGGTTAAGCTAGTTGACCATCCAGCCACTTGGGATGACATATAGCGCTATACTCAACCATTGCCTTTGATGAACGTCCACTTTACCTTGACATGGTGAACTTTAGTGCCACCACTTCTCAGTACTGCTTCAGGACATCCATCCGGTAGTGGCCAATAATTTGGAGATTGATATTTTCGATGATGGGTTTTTGTGGGGATTTGAATAAATCTCATTGTCGATCTCCTACCTTGAAGATCCCGTATTTTCTCTCTCTCTGTGGTGTGGTCGTGCGTGTGCACGTCCTAGACTAGGACGAAACAGCTGGCCATTATGCTCCCTGGCTAACAAAGATCTCTAGCTTGTTTATGGGTTTATGACTTCATCAACTGATTCACCTGCTTTTTTATATGGAACATTACAATATATTTTCACGTCTTTAAATATGACGTCATTAACAACGAGTGGTAGAAATGTAGTCTACTGATTTAAGCACTCAACTTTGGCTCTGTGGTTTATGGATTCGAATTACGGTCCACCTACCTACCTACCTCAGCAAGTAGAGTTGTGGCTAATTGGTTTAATGTGTTCAGCTTCCAACCAAATGGGTCACTTCACTTACTAAGGTTTGGGCAGCCCCGGATAATATAACTAACCGTCACATGAAAGATTGTGGTTCATTACCAACTGCATGGGATTTTTAGGTGGTTGTTGAGTTAACTAACTATACATCATCAGTATGTGCCCTATAACCCTGTCTCCAGGTAACCAACAACAATGAAACTGATTAGAGAACTATTAGAAAACCACTAGGGAATATTGAACAGCTGTTTCGTCCGCCTAGTTTGAGACTCCACATCAGTACACACCCACCTACAGGGTTCGAGCCCGGCGCCTTCTACTGGTTACACAACGAGCTTGTATGGGACCATTAAGCCACTGGACTCCCTATCCAATTATTCACGAATTCCAACTTCTGCCAATTCACGCTGGTGAGTATTTGCCCTCACACCCCTGACCTGCTGTAACCCACCTGTCATGATTTCTCACTGGAACCTAGGTAACTGCCTACTTGAATAAGGCCAGTCGTCAGTAGTGGGCATCAGATTGGTATTCAGTGGCTTAGTGGTCTACGAGCTAGCTCGCCTTGTTTTTTACCGGAAGGTCCCGGGTTCGAATCATGGTGGGTGCATAACTTCTGAAGAGCGCCAAGCTAGGCCGAAGAAACAACTCTCTAGTATTCCCTAGTAGGTTGGTTGTCCAACGGTCCTCTAACCGATGTCAACTCATAATGAAATCCTGAAACCAATCAAATCAAATCCTTACAATCCAACACTTGAATAACAATGAAGCCGTTTCAACAGTATTTTGACTAGATTATTAGGCAAGTATTAGGCATCATTTATTTAGTGATGTGTTTCGTTTGGAGATAAAATGTTCCAGTTCTAATATTGTTCTATCGCCTTTAATTTTTCTTTTTCTTACTGTAGAAAATTTCAAGAATACACTTAATCTGACAACAGTGAATAAAAATTTCGCCTTCGATTTCAATTGTGATTTTATCAATTTGCATTTTGCTCAAGATAGATCACGTAAAATTAACTACGATGAATTTACACAAATAATTCATGTAAAGTAAAAATTAAAATTTACAAAATGCATTTAAAACCGTTAGGATTTTTATTATTATTTTTTTGTTTGTTTTTATTTGTGTTCAGTTGTTTGTCTTGTTAGGGATAATCATATAACATGTGTACGTCGTCTGTGATTCAGTGATAGAATTTCTGTCATCCACAAAGCACGTGTTCGGGGTTCGATTTTCGACCGACGCACTCCAATGACATCACACATAGGCGGCAGTCAGCCCAACAAAGAAAGAAGATTGAGTGTGTTTGTCAAGTTTCCCTTATTTTTATTATTTATGTGAACGCAGAAAAAACTTGGTACAACATGGCACCAAGAAAGATGTGCCACACAAGTTGTGTGAGGGCTGAGATACTGCCTGGGCGCCCAGACCGAAGCAGGTGGTTTTCTTAAGGGACCACCCCCCGAGCCTTTGGTTTGGAGTCTAATCCCCAAGGCAGTGGAACAGCGTCAGGAGCTGCTGCATTCCCATGGTTTCCGGTGACCCATATGGGTTCATACGCCGTTTGATCCGATTGGATTCTGGAGCCCATGAACCCCATGGTAACCGTTTCTAGTCTAACCGCTATCCAAACAACCTTCCTGACATGGTAGGACCTGCAGGGACATGAGTCTCAGCCAGTTTAGCTTGTTGGGTCACTGCGGTATTCAAGCCCGACCACCACGGCAAGGTAGCAGTTGTCGGCCGGGCCAGTTTCCCCTCCGCCAAACACACACACACACCACAAAATGAAACAACACCACCACCACAGAGACTTCACTTCATATCGTAACCTCGAAGTCCTATATTCTCCACTCTGAAGACAAGGGAATGAATACAATCGTGTATGAAGTGTTTTCACTGCGTATTCAATCATTTGTTTGCATTCATAATTAGATTCAATAATCAATTATGTTGACAGTTTGGGCTGAGTAGTTGTCACCTTCGTTTAATAGTTATACATTCTGTCACTATTAGTCTTTCTTAACATGTGTTCACAATTGGCTCTGAAATACGAAATGTTTTTCTAATCACAATATTGTGTTCTTCAACTGACACGTGAGCTACTATAGATAAGTTTCCATTTATTGATGTATTTATTATGATTATGGTTCCCTTGGGTTCCGAGTGGAACATAAGGCTTCAACACCACGTCTCCACTTTGTCTTATCCTCTGCGGTCCTCTCTCTAGTTGGTCCCAAGATTGCCTATAATCTCTCAACTCCCCATAAGACCTCATCCATGTCAACCCCCAATAATTAGAATTACAAATGAAAGTCTGATGTACGATGTCATTCGACTGTCCCCTCAGCGTGCGCCCAAGCCATCTTTAATTTCCTTGGCGATATTTGTTAAGCAGTAGGTTCTCGGTTGATCCGTTCCCGAATTTTTCTTGTTAGTAATTCTTTTGGACCATTTGATCTTCAACATGGTGCTAAGACAGATGCTGATAATAGTCTGCAGTAGGCCTGTTGGAAATACTTTTCCTAACGCGAAGTGCAAGTTCCTGACCCATACAGAAGAACTGATTTAACATTTGTGTTGGAAGATTTCTATTGATATAAGAATAAAACTTTGACACTGTGGTAGAGTATAGTCGCATCACAGAACAATTTGATTTGATAAATAGCACATAGTGGTATATGGTATAATTTATCGATGACGTTTTAAGCGCACAGTTTATTGCTTTAAATTATATCAAAGTTCTACCAACAAAACTTTTTAACTTAATTTATATACTTATATTACTTCTTATCCTTTGATTTTATCGATAGTAATATGTTCCATCCCATATCTTTGGTATTGGCATCGCATCATTCCTATTGCATGTGTTAGGTGTAGATTCGATAGACACAGATTCAGTGTTCCGATAACCTGACTGACATATGTAGTTGATCTCATAGTGATTGTAGTGTAACAACAAAAGACAAGAGTCAGGCAACCGATCGTTTTATTACGGAAATCAGCACGTATTTATATATATTTCATGTACATTAATGTAGCTTTATTCAAGCAGACAAACACAGTCTTCTGATTGGTTGTTTCTTGCTCAGGGTGACTGGTTTCCTGGAAAGTTAAGCCATATATCTGCGAATCTTATTTGCCCACGTTAAGTCTGCTGTGATTGGTTGTTGAATCAGCCTTGTTCACGGCCAATATTAGTGACCTAGACATTGACGTAAATTGATGTCTACCAATTGGCTAGCAGCCTGCTCTCACCACAGTAGGACATTTTTTGTAGTTTTGCATTGTCTAGTTGTGTCAGTAAGGTCCTTTAGCCTACATAACTTGTCCCTGAGTGAGATTGTAGGTGTAAATACCTTTTAGTAATTCTACGTTAGGTTTGAGATGTTCCATCATTGTGTACAGTGAAACACTGTAGATGCCTTAAATTTCTTATTTATGTTGTGATAAACAGTCTCTCCACTATCCCCCCCCCTCTATTGCAAACTTTTTGTAACCGTGTTATAGTGTATTTTATGGGATAGTTATTTGGCACCATCGCTTTTTACTATCTGTTCCACTTTGTTTCACTTCTCCTGAATTTTTATACTTTCGTGCCTACGTCGTTTAATCTTTAACTGAGCGTTTGTGTTTATCCTATTTATATTTTGAATGATCTTGATGGTTGACCTATATGGGTTAACTTGGAGAGTCAGCACACACGATATTTTGTAAACTATGTTATTGCAATTCAGTGTATTTATTTATTTTTTTGATTGGATCTTTTAACCGATTTATTTTGTTTCAAATTATACTTCTCGACGAAAAAGCAATATTAGGTAATATAGGATTAAGTTGGGAAACAGTTAAGAGTGGTGAGGTCAAATAGAAACTTGGTATCAGTCTGTAAAGTCTTTGACGCTGACGAAATCTCAGCAGGGATATAGGAGGCTTGTTTGGCACGTGCCAAATTACGCTATCTCTGACTTAGTAGACATGATAACCGGCTGGCCGTCTACCAAAGGATATGTGTGCTGCTTATCAGTTCGCTCTGCCCTCCTTTATGGCTGCCTGTGAGTTAGACATGGTCATTGAAAGTGGAAGACATGAAATGCCTCGCTAGCCAGCTGTATTTGGTCATAGATGTCTGCGTTTCACCTCCCGTGTTGAATGGTACAATTAAGTGAGCAATATTTAGGTTAGACACCGGTCGAGTGCTAGGTAAGGAGGAGAAATCAATCGACGAAGTTTTGAAGTCATCAATTGAGATTGTTAGGATATGTGTTACTCATACCTGTCTAGCCATCGCCTTCCTTGACGACAGGCAGTGTTAGCTGACATGGATAGGATCAGGTTGTAAAAGAGTTAGTACTGGTCAAACCAAAATATGACCTCATCAGTTAATCAGATCCACAACAGTTAGTTTAAGCCACACACGTAGGGAGGTGTAGACTTCCTGACTGTTTGGGATCATCGAGATGGTAAAAACCAATGACAGCTGGACACAATTGGTGATGTGGCTCAAAATCCTCGTCGTCAATGACACCACAGATGCATCCAGTCTTTGTGATTCGTCATATCCAATAAATCTCTATTGTTCTTCCACCACATTGCTATTCTTTTTGCTTCACATTTGTGTTTATTATCTCTTTTTGCTCTCTTCTGTTGCTTCTTGTGCTACATGGGGGTGGGGTTGGTGGCCTGTGGCGACTCGAACTGTTGCACATCTGTGCAAAGTTCTATGTTAAGACCAGTCAGACAGTCAGTCAAAGTCCTTTGACTGTTAGTTTGAGCAAGTCACGTAGGTAGGGGGGGAATTACTTGGTTGGGGTCCTTGGGATACTAAAACCCAATAGCTTGAAATTGTTGGTCCAGATATGGCTCAAGAATACATTCACTCTGTGTAATCTTCTTCCAGTTCCAATAAGTCCTCATGTTTTTTTTTAAATTTTCATGTTACTACATTCTTTCTTTCTCCTGTGCATTTCTACTCATCACAGTTCTTTTTAGTATCCTTGTTTTCTCTGCGTTTATGGGCGGCTGTATGAATTGTGGTAACTTGAATTACTGCACTGTTGTACAGTAGTTTTACGCTGAAACTCAATTAGTCAGACTTGTTGGTTGAAATATGACTCTGCTACTCTCTTTCTGAGTTGTTTTGTTTCTTTGCTTGCTTGAGATTTGTACTCTCTTCGAGACACGTTTTTGTTGTCGTTGTTGTTATTGTGTGAAATGTCTGTATTGTGCTTTTCTTGTCTACTGTTTGCATCTTCTAACTCTCTATTTTTCTTTAGTGTTGTTTCTTATGAATTGTTTTGTATTAGTGTTTTTCTTCCACTAGTATTTTGACTATAAAACATTCTCTAGGGCTTGTATTGTTAATCTACGCTCCTATAGAGGTTGATAAGTTGAATGAATAGTGATCATCAAAGCATCTTCTGGATGAAGTTGTTGTTTTCTGTTCTTTTTTTTCCCTCATCATTTTCAAACTACTGTCAACCGATTTGAAGTTAACTGGTGGATTGTGACTAGCAGTGGAATCCACCAGGATGGTCATTTTGTCCTATTTCAGGCTCATCAACTGGATTTACTTACCTGCTTTCCCCAGTGAGTGGTGGTGGTGTTCGCACCGAGGCTCGAACCTAGTGCCGATTTATTTGTATTTTACAGTGTAGTGTAGACAACCTGAAGACACAGATTAACAATGAACCCAGACAATTAAAGAAAAGAGAAAATGAGCATAAACACGCTCAATTAAAGGTCAAGACAAAACGACACACAAAAGTATAAAAAGTTATCAGAAAGTTCATCCATAGTGGCTCATGTGTCAGTTGAAGAACACAATATTGTGACTGGAATAGTATTTTTTATATTTCAGAGCCGATTATGAATACATTAAGAAAGACTAATAATGACACAATGTATGTATATTCATATGAAAAAGAGCAGACGTCTAGCGAAGAGACTTTTCCGCGAATTCATTCACATAGCTGTACAATCGCATTTATATACAATTATTTTTGTGTGTATGTAAATGAGATTTGTCAAGTTTAGATAATTAATTCGGTAATAGAAGAATTCGTCGGTGGCATGGCGGTTAGGACGCTCGCCGACCATGCACATGGTCCGGGGTTCGATCCCGGGCCGACGCACTCCTTTACCTGGCTAAGCCAGAAATAATGCTGGTAAAAGGGAAAGGCATGAGACTAGCAACCCCATCCTGTAAAATAAACACTGCTACAGTAACTCCAATTCACTAGCTTGGAGCTCTATGTTCCACTGGGGAACGTGAAGGAAAGAAAAAAAAAATAGAAGAATGACCTAATATAGAAACAAGGTTAATTAGACAGCAACTAAAGTAAGATTGAGTATGCATATTCAGCAAAGGTGACTGACTACTACTCAGCCCAACTGCCGACATGATTGATTACTGAATATAATTGTGAATACAAACGAATGATTAAGTACTCCGCATAACAAACCATATGCACACACACACAGTCATAGAGACAAATAGGCATATATAACAATTTGACATTAGTCATTACATGTGATGACTGTTTACATTTTTCTGTTGCTAACCTTTCATAGGGACTGATTTCAGTTTATGTCATTTTTGATTATGTATCTTGACTCGTGCGTCGGTGGCACAGCAGTAGAATGTTCGCCAACCACGCCTCATATGGTCCGTGGTTCGATCCCTGGCCGCTAAGCTCGTAATAAGACTGGTAAAGAGGAAAGGTTGTGCATGAAGCTAGCAACACCATCCCGTAAAAAAAAAATAAACACAACTGTTACCGAAACTTCAAGCCTCTAGCTTGAAGCCACCGTATGTTCCACTGGGAACGTAAATGAATAAAATGATAATAATTCTGCTGCTGAAGAAGAAGCTGTGACTTACACAGACAGACGTCTAGGAAAAATCTTGTTTTGATTTTTCTTAAACACGCTGGGATTATTTTAAATAATTTAGAATATCATAGGTACTGTTTTGGAGTAAAGCAAATTGTTATTGTTATTATTATCGCTGCATCGATCAACCCTTGATTATATGTTGTGCTGATTATAAAGTGCTAGTATGCGTATAATGATCACTTCAGCTGTTTCCACTAATAACAATATCCCACAACTGGTTAAGCTTATAATCATCTTCGTCCTCGAGAACATCTCCCTCTATGGCTAAGTAAAGGCGTAGTGAAAATCATTAACAGTTCGATATTGGACCATCTGGTGCAAACCGGCCACAAAGCCAGCCAGCATGGAAGAATCCTTCTCTATAGTATACCGGGTGCCTAATAAATTGCCAAAATCATCGAAACACTGCAGGCTCCAAACAGCAGAGCCTATTGCAATTCGCCTCAAACAACCAGTGCTCTGTGTTCAAAAGAAGCAAGTCCAGCCCCTACTACTGCCCTGGCTGGCCTTCAGTAGAGACTATAAATTTATGAATTTGTAATAATATTTTTCCTAATTTTTTTTGACATTCAGCTTATTTTATGTTGATGCTATTTAGCTGTAAACTATCAGTATTATTGATTCGATGTTATTTAAACAACATTAATGTTGTTCATAACACTAATTCATTCATTCACTATAATGTATATGTGACTGCAGAGCCTGATGATGAAGGCGTTATCGAAAAGAGTACTCTTTGTTCAGTAATGATTCTTTTGAAGAATTTTAATGGGTATTTTTAATCAGATAATGATTATTATGAGTCACATAAGGTGAAGTATCAACTTCTTAAAGATCGAGTGAAATCTGCACTTGTTTCCAAATAATTGTTATATACATAAAATCTGGTATAACTGAACATTGTTCTCAGCTGCTGCTAGGAGTCTCAGACAATTAGATGAGATGTAGCAAGCGGAGGGGGGTGAAGTGAGATCCACATAGTGTCAATAATGTTGATGTCAGGATTTTACTTGGCGTCGATAGGAGCATGATTCCTCGCCAGCTCTTGCAGAGTGAGGCGTAAGCCACCCTTCTTTGGTAGTTTCACGAGGTGACCTTTCCTCCAGTCAGTAGGCACCTTTCCCTCCTTCCAGATCTTTTGCAATAATGGAGTCAGCATGTCTGCTATCGTCTCTGGGTCTGCTTTCAGTGCTTCAGGGGGTATTCCATCTGCTCCAGCTGCTTTTCCAGCTTTCAGAAGCTTGTTTGCATTCAAGACATCAGCTCTCGTTGGAGGTTTGTTGTGAACTTGCAGTTGTGTGCGCGCTGTTGTTGGTATTTCTGGACGGGTTGCAGGTAATGGTCAGTTCAAGAGTCCTTCGAAATGATCCACAAGTTGTTAATTTGTTTTCCTTCCTTGGTAATTGGGTTCCTTTGGCTGTCTTTTATAGGTTTCGCTTGTGTTGATCTCTTCCCGGATAGAGATTTGGTTATCTGATATAAAGTCCTCAGGTCCGTTTTGCCTGCTGCCTTCTCAGCTTCAGTGGCCAGGTTGTCGTAGAATCGTCTTTTGTCCTTCCTAGCACTCTTCTTCACTTCTTTGTCCAGTGCTTTGTAAGTTAAGCTCAGCGTCTCCTTCTCCTGTCCGTCTTTGCATTGAATCATTTTCTCGTTCACCATGAGGGTTGGGGCGTGGTGCTAGCAACTCCACCCCTGTAAAACAACCAAATCGCTACAGAAACTTCAACGAATAAATATATTAAAAATTCTAAAAACATCAGAAGTAAATATTACTGTATAATGCTGTGAGACTTTATCAAAATAAATTTTACCCACAATAGAATTATACTCTACCACAATGTACAATTTTTATTCTTATATCAACTGTCAGGATGTGTCTTATTTCGTAAAAGTTTGGTTCGAGATTTGTCGTTATATTTAAAAAATACTTTTGTCGCTTTCAGATTTTTTAAATTTCCTGTTAATCTGTCAATTTATCATCAGGAATCAAGCGCACTATCCGAAAAATTGCGTGAGAGAGAGAGATGTACCTATCAATAGATCGCATGCATTTCACCCTGTACACCCCATTGTGTATAAATTTTAGTGTGTTGTCCTTTTTTATATCTCCTTGTTGGTGGTGCCTTTTCTCTTTGTAGTTTTTTAGTCGTGATTATTTCTACTACAGTTATCCCCTTAGATTTTGAGTGTATAACAGTCTGAATTCAGAAATACATCTGTGCATTTCCCTCTGTTCAACACAGACATTTTCAGCTGACTCCTCACGATTACCTATAAGCTTCTATTTCCTCGTCATACAGTCTCCTTCATGTGTGTCATTCTTGGACGTACACCCAACTCATCGTTTCCCAGTTGGCTTCCATTCGACAGCCTGCTTTGCGCATGACATTCATGACTTAACTGCCTACTCAGCCTGTGTCCAGTTCCCCTCCACTCCCTTTTTGTGCATATTTATTGGGCAATACGCTATTGGTTGAATCCCTGCTTATCAGCGTGCCTTCTATCTACTATTTAGTTTTTAGTTGCATTGTGTTAGTGAATTCCCCCGCCCTCTCCCCTTGTATTACCTGTTTTGATTGTTTTGTGAGCATTCGTGAGTGTACAAGTAAGAATTACATGTATTCATATGCCCTACTACTAAGCAAAAAAAACATCATTGTTGGTTACAGACTTTCATCATGCGCGCTGACATCCGTTAGAGAATCATTGGAATATCAGTTGGGAGTACTGGACAGCTGTTTCATCCGTCTAGTTAGAGACTCTTCATCAGCATGCACCTACCGACAGAGTTCGAACCCAGGACATTCTAGTCCAATACTCCCTCCGGGGTTTTCCAATGGTTCTCTAACCGATGTCAGCGCTCACGATGACATCCTGTAACACCAGTCGATCAAATCCCTACAAACCAATACTTGAAGAACATAATTTATTGTTCAGGAATGAAAAACAAGTAATAATAATAATTTCCCCCATTCTTATATTCTTCTTCGTATTTATTCTTTTCATCTTCATTTCATTATATTGTTGTAGGATTTCAATGATGAACATGCTATACAAGCATTTCAACAATTAGATGAAGATAAGACAGGAACAATTACAGTGAATCAATTTGTAGATGTTATCATACAATTAAAAAGTCATTTATTAACTGATTTTATTAAAGAAAATCTACTCACAGTAAGTTGAGTTATATTTGTGTTAAAAAAAACTCTTTTTACTCTTGTTTGAACTTTTTATCCCTCTTCATAGTTAAGTTTTGAGTGGATATTCAAATTTATATCATTAAATATTCATTTATTGACTGACTGACTATTTTTAACGTAGAACTTTGCACAGATGTGTAGCACTTCAAGTTGCCACACTCCCCCACCATGTGTAGCACACAAAACAAGAGAAGACAGTAAACAGAGATAATAAATAGAAGTGCGAGTGAGGTAAAAAGAATAGTAATATGGAAGAAGAATACAGTTTTATTGGATATTACAAGTCGCAAAAAGTGAATACATCTCCTCCAGACATTGAGAACGAGGATTTTGAGCCATATCATCAATTGTCTCCAGCCTTTATTGGTCCTTACCATCCCGAGGACTCCAGCCGAGTCAGTTAGGAAGTTTACACCTTCCTACGTGGCTGGTTCAAACTGTTATAGATTTGATTGACTGATGAGGCCATACTTTCGTTTGACCACCACTAGCTCAATTCCAACCTGACCGACCCTATGTCAGCTAACATTGCCATTTGTTGAGGAAGGCGATGTCTAGGCAGGCATGAGTAACACATGTCCTCACTATCTCAATCGATGTAACTCCACAACCTCGTCATATGTTTTGAAACTCTGCGAAGAAAACCAGGGCTGACAAACCAAATTCTTTCGCGAAAGTCTTACCACAACACCTAATTATTACACATAAAGTGGAGAGATGACCATTTTCGCATTTATTATCCCAAGGCTTCTGTATAACAAGTGTTCCAGCTGGCCGAGCTGGTTACATGACTGCCGAATGCAAGTCAAGCCATCAGTCGAATATGTGAGCGATGTCAATAATCATACTCAGTCTACACGAGAAAATCTCTGGAACTCGGTCAACGTCTAACGTAGAAAGTTTTGTTCATCTTACCGAATGACTCAACCTAAACACACCTCTAATAATGATGAAGTACAAATACACCTGAGTATTGAAACACATCTAGCATATTCAAGTGTTGGTTTACAGACAGTCTATACCTCCCCACGTGTGTGGCTTCAACTAACTGTTGTGCATTTCATTGACTTATGAGGCCATGTTTTCGTCTGACCACCACTAGCCTTCTTCCAACGTGACCTATCCCATGTCAACTAACATTGCCTGTTGTCGAGGAAGGCGATGTCTAGGGATGCATGCGTAACACATGTCCCAACGATCTCAACCGGTGTAACTTCACAACATTGTTGACTGATTCCCTCTCCCACCTTCCTACCACTCGACCAAAGCCTAACCTTAATATTTCTCACCTTATTATACCACCTAACACGGGAGATACAACGCAGACATCTATGATCAAAGGCAGCCGACTAGCTAGGCTTTTCATATCTTCCACTTTCAATGGCGATGCCTAACCCACAGGCAATCACAGAGGAGGAAAAGCGAACTTCTGAGCAGTACACACACATCCTTTGGTCGATAACCAGCCGGATATTACGTCTACCTCAGAGATTGCATAAGTTGGCAGTTATATGTCAAACGAGTCTTCTGTATTCACGCTGAGATTTCGTCAGTAATCAACCCATGAGGGCTGATGTAACTCCCCGATTAAGTGAAATGGTTAACACTGTCTACTTCTTCACTCCTTATCTTTACGCTAGGCAGTCGATATAGTCCACTCCTGTGGCATCATCTTACATTTGACAGGAGCAAATTTCTTGCCAAACATTCGGTGACTGCGACTCAAGGTTGGTTCAGAAGACTGTGTTTTATCATCCTCTTCATCCAGGAGGACTATATCATCCGTATATTCTAAGTCAACAAGACTATTCCCTGGTAACTAGTCAATCCGTCAGTCGCTGAAGTCAGTTAGACTTAAGTTCATTAGTACAAATATGATGAAATTAAACAGAAATGGGGACACCCACTGTCCTCATTTATTTCCTTGTATGTGTCTGGTTAATCTTTTTTATCTGAGCATTTCATCTAATTCTATACTGTTTGAAAAAAATTATTATTCCATCGGCTTCCGGATGGAACATAGGGCTTCAATAAGACATCTCCAGTTTGTCCTGTTTTCTGCAGTCCTCTTTAGCTGGCTTCACAATTTCCTATAAGCTTTCATCCCCTCCTAGCCACACGATCTCCTCCATGTCAGTAGCCATCCATCTCGTTGTTTCCCATTCGGATTTCACTCAAAAATCTTTTCAACGTGTGTCCAACTCATCTCCATGTTTCACTCATTCTTTCTGACTGGCCAGCCATATCTGATCTTCAGTATGGAACCAGCGAGGTTGGCAGCTGTCGATAAAAGACTGAAGCCCACTGGAAATACTTTTGGTGACATATGTTCGTCAATTTTCTGACTCGTGTAGAGGAACCGATTGATATAACATCATTGATGTTGAAAATCTGAATTTCGTTCTTTATGTTGCGGAGTACAGAAGATTTCCAAATTGATTTCAGAGTGACGAAAATCTACCCTGCCTTTCCTTTTCGATTGCGTAATCCATTTTTAAGGATAATTGTAAAGAAGGTAAACGCTTATTGTCTGATAGTTCGCTATATTATCCTTGATTGGTTACAAGCAATAGTTTAATGGTCAACAAACAGGTGGCGTCTAACTATAAATGTGCCTCTCTAATGCGTTGTTACTTTCATAATAACCGCTGTTAGTGCTTGTCAACTAAAGTTTACTTGCTAATGAGTTATTCCTAACACCGATTACTTTAATGTTTTCGCTGAAGTAAGAAGATGGTAAGACAAGATAAATCTTCAGTAAGAGCCTTAACTACCCTGTCAACAAATATATATTTAAGTGTTGGTTTGTAGGGATTTGATTGGTTACAGGATTTCATCATGAGCAGATATTAATTAGAGAACCATTAGAAAACCTGAGAGTTCTAGACAACTGTTTCGTCCTAGTTTGGGACTCTTCACCGGTACGCACCCACCAGGATTCGAACCCAGGACCTTCTGGTTACAAGACGAGCTCGTATACCATTAAGCCACTGAGATCCGATCCAATAGTCAGTCCATGAATTCTAACTTCTACCAATTCACGACATAGCGCGACCTCTAGCCAATATCTTCGGCGACTATTTGTCCTCACACTCGACCTGCTGGTCACAACGTCTTACTAGAACCCCAGGTAACTACCTACCTGAATAGGGAAAGTCGCTATTGAGCATCTTGTTGATATTCAGGTGTTGGTTTGTACCAATCGAATCCCCACAAGAGTCCCAAACTAGGACGAAACAGCTGTCCAGTACTCCCAGGTTTTCCAATGGTTCTCTAACTAATGTCAGCTCATGATGAAATTCTGCAAATAATAAATATGAAAGAAGTTATTGTTTATACATAGAAGGAGCATAAACTCGTCCAAAAATAGCTTAGCAGCCTAATGAACAGTGTCTTGTAAAACTGTGTGGCTTATCATAGGCTTAAACATTAGACTTTCGGTCAGTTTCATCCCAGGTTCGAATCCCGTTCGACTTACTTCAACGTGAACAACTGGGTATCATAATCATCATCACCTCTCACATTTTAAATGTGGTTCACAACCTGCTGCTACATAAAATATCTGTTCTGGGTAACTGAATTTATTAATATATGTGTAAAACTTAGTTGCTGTGCTGGTGGTATGTAATTCCATATTAATTTGTTTATTAGGTATATCACACAGTGAAACAGTATTATCATTATTTACTGGATGACGAAGTTTCCAACACAATTCATTGACTTCCATAATCATATCAGTTATAGCTACACAACTTCAAAATTGTCAGCAGTAAGTATTTCCATACAAAATAGGAACTTTGGAAAGCTTACATAGAATTCTTAACAATACAGGAATAAAAGTGCATTCAAGGTCATTGGGGCGTTCGCACTCTTGGGATGCTATTGTTGAACTCCGCCTATCGTTTTTCCCTATTATTAACTTTTGCCTCATATTTCTGTTAATTATCTCTCCTTTGAATCTCTTTTTACTGTCTTCTCTTGCTTTGTGTGCTACACATGGTGGGGGAGTGTGGCAACTCGAAGTGCTACACATCTGTGGAAAATCCTCTATTGAAAACAGTCAGACAGTCATCTTGAATCAGTTCGTTTTTTAGTGAAATTTAATTTAGTTTGTATGTTTTTACGAGTTGACCACAGATTGATATCAGTTAGAGAACCATTGAAAACCAGCATCGGAGTACTGGATAGCTTTTTCATCCTAGTTTAGGGATCATCAGTCCTGGGTTTGAATTCCAGTGGGTGCATATTGCCGATGATTCCCAAACTAGGATAAAACAGTTGTCCAGTGCTCCGATACTGGTTTTCAATGGTTCTCTAACTGATATCAATCCGTGGTCACCTCGTAAAAACATAACTAACCCTTACAAACCAAACTATAGAAAATTAGTTTGTATGGCAATAATTGTTGTCACCTATAAGTTGCACTGTATGCACTACATAAGGTGCTTTTGTGTGTAAGTGTGTGTGTTGGGGTATTCGTACTCAAATACAGAAAATCTCTTCAATACATGAATAAAAATCTCACAAACATGATATGAAATATTTATTGATTATGAAGAGTGAATTCTGTTACACAGTCTAGTTGTGATTATAAACTTGAAACACTCAACGACTAAGAAAATAAACACAATAGTCTGTTCCTTTTATGTACACTTGTGTGTTCATATGACATTCATATGATTTTGTTGCTATGACCTTTCTACCATGTTTAAAGTCATTTCAATGAATATACTTTTATATTCGTGTGACCTTTTGTCTGGTCTTTTGCATATAATAGCCTTCATTGAAATGTCTGTTAAGTGGTATGTAGGTAAGTCATAAAACACTTAGAAAACACTAACCAACACTTGAATATCAATGAGATGCTCACTAGCGACTTTCCCTATTCAGGTAGGTAGTTACCTGGGGTTCTAGTGAGACGTCATGACCAGTAGGGTGCAGCAAGTCGGGTGTGAGGACAAATACTCGCCACCGAAGACATCGGCTAGAGGTCGTGCTATGTCGTGAATTGGCAGAAGTTAGAATTCATACACTGGCTGGCCATTGGATCTGGTTCCAGTGACTTAATGGTATACGAGCTAGCTCGCCTTGTAACCAGAACGTGGTCCTGGGTTCGAATCCCGGTGGGTGCGTACTACTGAAGACTCATAAACTAGGACGAAACAGCTGTCTAGAACTCTCAGGTTTTCCAATGGTTCTCTAACTAATGTCGGCTCATGATGACATCCATTTGTGTTTTTTTTACTTTTGTGTCATTTTCACGCTATACTTTTATTTGTCACTGATGTACACATTTGTAAATTATATAAAGCGAAATAACTGTTAGTTTGCAGGAGTGCTTGGTTCATCATGATTTGAAGTTTGATCACGAGAGAGAGAGAGAGGGGGGAAAACACTTGAACACCACTGGTGGTACAAGACAGCTGTTTCGTTCTAGTTTGGGACTCTTCAGCAGAAAACGTGCCCTTGACTTCCAGGTAATGAGGTGGCGAGCCCGTTGACTATTCACACATTTATTGGAATGGAATCCAATCACACTGCCCTCATGAATTCATGCTTCTGGTGATTTGAGATATATGTTTCTATAAAATGAAATCCATTCCAAGAAGCGGCCTGCTTAAATCACTGGGTTACTGGAGTTGCTTCCTGTGAAAAATGCTTAATTTCATCTGGATTTATCATTGTTTTAATCGTCCAGTTATATCTGTCTGGATTCAACATAGAACTTGGCACCCAAGTGCACCAGTTCGAGTTGCCACGTTCCAAATAGCACAAAGAGGTACACAAGAAGATGAGTGAAGAGAATCAATACAGTCTGACAAGTATAAGAGTGAAACAGAATGGGTAATGGTGGAGAGGAATATGAAAGATTACAGAGACTGAATACATCTGCGCTGGCCATTGACAACGATTTTGAGCCATGTCACCTATAGTCTCCAGCCATTGATTCCTAGAGTCCCGAGGCCTCCAACCCGGGAGTCTGCATCTCCCTACCTGACTCAGTTTAACTGTCAAGCATTTCATGGATTGATGAGGCCATGTTTTTGTTTGGCCACCACTGGCTCTTTTCCAACCTTCACCTATATCAGCTAACAATGCCCGTCGGGGGAGGCGGTGGTTAGGCATGCGCAGCACGTGACCTAGCCATCTTAGTCTATGTAACTTTATAGCCTCGTCGATTGATTTTCCCTCTTTGCCCAACACTCTACGCCTAACGTCAACATTACTTACCTTGTGAAACCACCTAACGTGAGAGAGAGATCGCAGACATCTATGATCGAAAGCAATCAACCTTTTCATGTCTTCAACGCGTATTGGCCATGTTTCAGAGCCATAGAGAAGGACGGAGCGAACTGGTGAGCAGTACACACGTCCCTTGGTTGATAACCGGATGTCACGCCTACGCCAGAGATGGTGTAAGTCAGCGAAAGCAGCTCGAGCTTTTCGGATCCGTGCTGAGATTTCATCGCCAATCAGTCCGTTGGTGCTAATACAACTTCCCAAGTAGGTGAAGTGGTCAACATGTTCTATCACTTCACTCCCTATCACTAAGTTAGGGGTTGACGTCGTCCAGTCCTGTAGCAGCATGTTACATTTTTCAGGGGCGAATCGCATGCCAAACATACGAAGATTGGTGCTCAAGGTGTTCAGAAGACTCTGCATTTTGTCAGCATCCTCCCCTCTCCAAGTGGAACATAGAGCTACGACAGCACATCTCTATTTCGGCCTGTTCTCTCCAGTCTTCTTCAACTGACCCGACGATTACCCAAAGTCTCACATCTCCTCGGACGATCTACTCCATGCCACTCTAGCATGGTTGTTTTGTTTTTTTACACGAAGGAGGGTTGCTAGTCCTACGTTCAACCCTACTTCGAAGTAAACCGGTTTTTGCTACCGGTGTAACAACAGAAGACGATGGCCAGGAAACAGATCGTTTATTAAGGAAGTCAACACGTATTTATAGATTTTCATGTACATATTATAGTTTATTGTTAGCAGAAAAATACAGTCTTCTGATTGGTTGTTTCTCACAGAAAGTTAACCTTGCATCTCTTTGTGGCCGTTTATTGAAGTTCAGATTATCTATCTGCAAATTGTATCCGCCTACTCAAAGTCTGCTGTGATTGGTTGTTGAACCATTCTTTGTTCTTACTTTTCTCACTACCAATATTGGGGACGTAAACATTGACGTAAATTACTGTTAAAAAGACAATTGCAACGAAGAAAATTTTCTTTTCGACGAAGTTATCATCTAGGCTGTACATTCATGTATTTATAATAAATGGGTGGGAAAGTTCCAGAATAATTTCCGGTCAAGGGGCAAATTAATAAGAATTACAATTAGGAATAAGAATGCCATAATAACCAGGGGGGCGGATAAAACTCAAACAAAGTAGCATTATAATAACTAAAAAGACTGACATTGTGCAATTGGGGGGTTAGAAATGTAGAAATAATAAAAATAGACAGGATGTTTGGATACAAAACAAATGTGATGAATAATGGTTTATGCAGTCAGGGATTAATTGTGTAGAAATAATAAAATGACAAATTGAACAGGAAGTTCGGACATGAAAATATGGTAGTGTAAACAGGAATTAGGAAAAACTTAAAAAAACAGCATGAACAAACAGGAAGTTTAGATAAGAAAGGCAATGGGATGGTCATTACTAGAAAAATTTACCTGTTTATGATGGCCATGGCAGGGACAGGGGTTAGACGTATTTTTTTAGATACATAGCATGGGTTTGAGTTTTTGGATAGTTAGTGCCTCGGCTATGCCCAGATGTCTTGATTTCACTCCCTTTGTTAGGTCTGATTGAATCTTGTATATTAATTTGAAGGATTTCTCGATTGGCGCTGAATGTTCTGAATTGACCAGATTTTCTGTCACTGAACTGTATACACGTTTTTGGTCTCCTATTCTGGAACTTTCCTATCCATTTGATATAAATACACGAATGTACAGCCTAGATGATGACATCGTCGAAAAGAAAAATTTCTTCGCTTTAATTGTCTTTTTAATAACTCCTATAACCCAATGTGTAAATTACTGTCTACGAATTTGGCTAGTAGCCAGCTCTCATCACACCGGTTAAGCAAGGATTAGCTGTTTGTCTGTCAAGAATGAGAACAACCCTGATCACCTGGATGTTTTTGGCGAACATTCTGCCTTCGAACTATCACTGCCTCAATCTGTCGAACTAAACTTTGGGGTTTTTTTTTTCTAAAAATTATTTCGTTACCAGTTTGATTTTTTAAAGTCTGAAAGTATTGCACAGCATTATTTTCCGCTTTTATTCTTATTTCTGCCTCTTATTAGGTAGCTTTACATGGTGAAACAGATGGACGAATTACGTTCGCCTATTATATGGCTTTTATCACATTGTTATCGAATATGGAATTGGTTAAAAAAGTATATCTAAGTAGAACACATGGAAATGCTAAAACAGAATTAACAAAAGGTTTGTATCACATGTGGAAAGTTGTTTCCCTTATCGTTTCTTTTCTCAACTCAGGTTTTACGCGGTTAAATAAATTCGGGTTATATATTGAATCTGAAATTTATAACCTACACAGTTTTAGAGGAGGTGAAATTTCGATAACACACATACACAACTTGTTATCTGCTTGATCCCATAAATAATAATCATATAATCATCTATGATGACGTGGACAAGGCAGTAATTCGATTACATGCATACCCTTACTGTGTTAGATGTTTGGAGGCAATCGGCAGGAAGCCGGGTCAGTGGTAACGTCTCTGACTGCAGCACTACGTGATGTACAATCAGCCTCAACGGGTTGATCTCTGACGAAATCTCAGCACGAATACAGGGGGCTCGTTTCGCATTTACCAGTTTACGCCGACTCTGGCGTAGACAAGATGTTCGACTATCGACCAAAGGGCGAGTGTACTGCTCATCAGTCCGCTCCGTCCTCCTCTATGGCTGTGAGACCTGGCCACTGAGAGTGGAAGACATGAAAAGACTAGCGAACTGTCTTTGTCATAGGTGCCTGCTCCCTATTCCCCGTGTAAAGTGGCATAATAAGGTGAGCAACATTGAAGTTAGGCGTCGAGTGCTAGGTAAACAGGGGAAATCAATCGACGAAGTCGTGAAGTTACGAAGACTGAGATGGTTAGGACATGTGTTACGTATGCCAAGCCATCGCCTCCCTCGACGAGCAATGTTAGCGAGGGAGTGAGGAGCCATCAAGTAGAGGAGTTGCATCAGTGGGAGGAAGGCAAGGTAAACGAGATGAAGATGAAGACAAAGATAAGTGAGGATTAGAGAGGTTTTGTGTGCATTTTGGATTGTGAGGGCGTTTGTTACTTCCCGGCTGCCCACACCGTGGAAGTTGGTTGCGTGACCGCAGAGCCCAGGGGACAACTGCTTGAGGCCGGTCACACGCGGCCTGTTTTTGTTTGCTCTCTTTTGTTTGGTGTGCCTCAGTAGCATACTTATCACTCCTGCTCTGTGACACGGCAGCAGGAAGCGCGGTCGTTGTTAATCCGGGCCACGGCCGATCCGGCATGAAATTTTGTGAATTTATTTGAATCATGGTATTGGATGGGGTAGCTGCTTTTTGTTTAACCGCTATCCAAACAACCTGCCTGGCATGGTAGATCCTCGAGAGACATAAGTCTCAGCCAGTATAGCTTGATTAGGTCATTGCGGTGTTCAAGCCCGACCACCACGTCAAGGTAGCAGCTTTCGGTCGGGTCGGATATAGGGTCAGGCTGGAAAAAAGCTAGCGGCGGTCAAACAAAACTTGGCCTCACCAGTCAATGAAATCCACAACAGTTGGTCTAAGCCACGTAGGAAGGTGTAGACTTCCAGGCTGGGGTCCTCGGGACGGTGAAAATCTATGGTTGGAAACAATGGGTGACATGGCTCAAAATCGTTCTCAGTGGCGCAGATGCATCCACTCCTTGTGACTTATGATCTTTAATGAAACTGTTTTGTTTTTCTTTATTACTCCTTTGTCTCACACCTCTACTCATTGTTTCTATTATGCTTTTCTTGTACTTTCTTCTCTTGCTTCGCGTGCTACACGGAGTGTGGCGACTTGAACTTCCGCACATTTGTGCAAAGTTCTATGTCGAAAACAGACAGACAGACAGACTACGTGATGTGGATTTGAATCTCAAAAGGGACATGAGTTCCTTCAAGACTGCAGATACGTCTTTCTGACTGGTGAGTGCCCATTAGCTCGAAACCTGGGTCTAAAGCTTCCTCTCGATTGCCTCCAATCATCTAATATTGACAATTCACAGTGCACCTTGATGACGAGGCATCGTTTAGCATGGTGGCCATATTGTACACTTGACAGCTGGAATTCACTTCGCACCGAAGAAATGACTAGACACAATACACTAGTCACTAGTGTCAAGTGAAAATATCCTTATGATTCTAATTGACATAAGAATAAAACTTGAGCATTGTGTTAGAGTATGATTCCATTATTTGATTTAACGCACACAGGGATGCACTGTTGTTTATTTACTGACTACGTTTCGAGCACAATGTATTGCTCATGAGCTCATGAAGGCATTCACATGACTTGTAAACTTCATTTATACAAATCTTTTATTTCATATGCTTTGATTTTATAATAAAGGTTTTTGTATTTCTTAATGAATGAAAAACAAAACGATATTGTTTTTACTGACGTTTCGCTATTTAATGCTAATAGCTTTATCAAAGTATTATATAATGCTTTGATTTTATTGATGGCAATATTTGTGATATTGGGTATTTCGTCATTCTTACGGAATATGTTAGATTCAGGCTCAATAGACAAAGATTCAATGATCAATCTCTCTCTCAATCTACGTATTATGTTAATTTTTAAAACTGCAGCCCTCTCCGACCTTACTGTGTATTTTAGTGTTTGTCTTGTGATTGCTGAGTTATTCTCTGAGTAATTGATTTTTTATTTTATTCCATGACGTTCCCAGTGGAACATAGGGCTAGCTAGAGCTAGAGCTTTGCAATTTCGGCAGTAGTGGTATTCATTTTTATGGGATAGGGTTGCTAGTCTCATCCCCAATCTTCCCTCTTCACCAGTCCTATTACTTACTGGCTTAGCAAGGTAAAGGAGTGTATCGGTGGTCGGGAATCGAACCCCGAAGCACCTGAGGCGTGGTTGGCGCGCATTCTACAGCTGTGCCACCAACGCTAAGTTATTGATTATCCTGAGGTTAATAATTCTACACTTAGTTGAATTGCTATGCTCCGTTAACCTCACTGACCCCAATCGATCTAGTGGTCTGACCTATTCGCTTGACCTAACTAAGCTGATTATCTAAATTGTTATACCAATGCTTTATTTGTTTTAAAAAATAACGTACTTGAAAACTCCCATGTCCTACTTTATTCAATACTATCCCCTTTTTTATTTTATGATGTAGAGGAAATGCTGAATGAAGCTCAACATTTTTCACAAATTACCCCTATGGAGTTAAGTATTTTATTTCAACTGTCATCCCTTCTTCGACAAGATGGGTAAGTTATAAGTAATTGAATTGAATTCTTGATTTTCCCGTCGATTGATTGGACCGAAGTGCTCGGTCTCAGGTTGACATGTCGGCTTCTTGTGCAGATGCTTCGACGATGTCTGGGGATTTGATTTGTATACAATTGGTGGATGGTGGCTAGCAGTGGAATCCAGGATGCGCATTTCGTCCTAATTGGGACTCGTCAGCTATGACCCGTTGCACAAGAGGTGGCTCTCGTGGCCCAAGTGGTCTAGTGGATAACGCTTTGGCGTTTGAAACTATGGGCACTGGGTTCGAGCCTCGGTGGGAACATCATCACTCACTGAGAAATGCAGGTACATCCAGCTGACGAGTCCCAATTAGGACGAAATGCGCATCCTGGATTCCACTGCTAGCCACCATCCACCAATTGTATACAAGTTATAAGTAAATTCAAATAGTTGCCTGTGTAAGACTGTCATTGATATTTCAGTTTTATCGACAACATACAGTTTCCGGAAGTGATCATTCTCTCTCTCTCTCTCTTTATATATATATATATATATATATATATATATATATATATATATATATATATATGATGACATGAAAAGCCACTTTTTAACAAATATATAAACATGTATTCTTTAAAAGTACCAAAAGCAAATTATTCATCACCATATCATTATGGTATATGACAATGCCTGCCACGTGTCAGGTGATCCACAATGGGAAACCCAGCAAGACGTTCGAAGTGAATACAGGAGTTAGACAAGACTGCCCGACTGCCTATTATCACCCGTGATAATATTCCTAGTTGTGATGTGCTGGATTATGCGCCAGACTGTGCACTGGAAGTGATAAGACAGGAATTCGTTGAACCACACTGATAAGAAGACTCTAGAAGGTCTGGATTTCGTGGTGTTGACATATGTCTGATGTCTCACAAACTCGACGACTTGCAGGCGGAAAGCAGCAAACTGGTAGGATGGGGCAGTCAGCGAAGATAGGATTCCAGGTGAACACGGAGAAGACGGAGGTGATGAAGATAACTTACTAACAGCGACAACAAACACCACTAGTCACTATCAACGGAAGAGATTTGACAGAGGTTATTTCCAGCCAACCAGTATCGTTTCAACCGCAGGCAGTCGGATAGCACAGATAAAGATATCAAAGCCAGCCAGCCAGCCAGAATCGAAAAGCTAAGCAAGATACGTCCTCATCAACCTGATACCAGTTTGGAAATCTTCTACATTCAGCTGGCATAAAGAATAAGATTCGGATTTTCAACACAAATGTGAAGTCAGTCAGTCACTTCTTTTATACAGATCTGAACTTTGTGTCAGTCACGAAATGGATTTCCAACAAGTTACAGTCTTTAGTCAACAGTCGCTTTCGCCTAGCTCGATACTGAAGGTCAAATGGCCAGCCGACCAGAAAAAATTAGCAACAAGAAACTCTGGCTAGAAACAAAAATAACGAAGAGTCGATCGCTCAACAAATATGTAGGAGAAAGTGGAGATGGATTGATCGGGCATACATTTAGGAGGCCGTCGAATGACATCGCGCTCAATGCAGGCCAGTAATGAGGATGATATGGAGATGATAGATTATGGGCAGTCGTGAACCCAGATGAAGAGGATAGCAGAAAAAATAGAACAAGGTGCAGATGTGCTTCTGTTGAAGCTCTGTGTTCCACTCGGAACCCAAGGGAATAATAAATGAGTGATATCATTGTGGTTATGAAGTGGACTGTCGGGTGACACTGCACGATAAACCCTCGAATTGAACCCATGTGGGAAACGACGGGTTGGGTACGTGTCTGAGGGTGACATGTGGGGAATCGTGTAAGGAGGAGGTGAAAGCTTATGGTCAATCGCGTGGTTAGGTAAAGAAGGCTTCAGAGAAAAAGTTGAAATGAAGATGCTCCGTCAAAGCCCTTTGATCTTCTCTAAACCCAAGGGAATAATAATAATGTCACTATTGGTCATTATAAACTTCCATTACTGTAGGCTGCTGAAACATGCGCTACGCATACTTATTCAGTGAGGACATCATTTCCTTCAAGGTTGCCTTGTCGATGACTACCAGTAAGCGCAAAATCTAGATTAAATGCTTCCAACTGACTACTCATAACTAGTTTAACCTTAATACAAAAAATGCACTATTTTGGTGTCCCCTAGATTAGTGACCATAGCTCAACACTGAGGACTAGACACGTGACCCTGGTTAGTCATCAGTGTCCAACCAATATAATCATTACACTTCTACAATAGGTTAATGGCGGATCCGAATAGGTCAATGGAAACCCCTCTGATTGCAGCACTGGGCGAAGTGGGTTCTAGTCTCAGAATGGGGCATGAATTCCTTCTAGGTCGCAGATACTACTTCCCGTCGAGTGGTCAGCAAACACCATGGCCAGGTTCAGGAATTCTGGTCGATTATATATATATAAACAATACACTACTTAATCCATGTGTTTACAACGATCATCTAGTCAAATATATCTGTAAATTGAATTCTATTCATAATTGTAACGTCTGCTGAGAAAATGGCAGAAATACACGGATGCCTAAACCGCACTCTGTGGATGTGCATATTTTGTTAGCATAGGCTTACGCTTATTATCTTTAATTTGAACTATCAGTGAACTCTATCATGTTAGATGCAGGCAGGAGTTCGTTGACAGTAAGCCATTTCTTGATCTAAACTCCCTTGCTCTTTGTGTTATTCATCAACAAGGTATATCTGCCACACTTGTAAAACTGAAGTTTACCACGGTTTCCTAATATGCATCACTCATAGTTGAAGTTAGAGACTTTTACTGATTCGCTACTGAGACTTCAGTCCACCTCTTCTTTTGACTGAGTTATGTATTTTGGAATATATGACTTCAGCAGCACCTTTCAGTTCCTCCGCAAATAATCTCCTCCATATCAGTCTCGGACGCGCCCAGCTCATCGCTTCCAATTTGCTTTCCACTCGAGTGCCTGGTGTATGTCATGTCATTCAATGGCCCCTTCGATGTATGTCCGATCCATCTCTTTCATTTCCTTCCTTATATTTGTTGCTCAATAGATTCTTTTTCGGTTCATTGCCTGACAGAGTTCTACTCGGAACTTGGGGGACGAATTATTATAAAAATAAAGTAATACTATATACTGGTTGGTAAATCGATGCTTGCTGACTGGTGCTAATATGCGCGTGTGTGTTGGTTAAAATCAATCGGTTGTTTACATTTTTATTACATAGCCAACAAAATGGCTCTGAAAAATGAAGCACTGATCAGAATCTGTTAATGTGTAACGTAGTTATCAGATCGATCTCTAGGCGTTGTGTATTCGCCTACTGAATAGAGTACTTACAACCGTTTATTTAAAAGTTTGAGCCTTATATACTACTCACCCGCTTGGCTTGCAACTGCAGTATAGCGCTTCAACAGCACATCGCTATTTTGTCCTATTTTCTGTGGCCCACTACAGCTGACCCCATGATTGCTCATAATCTCTCATTTCCTCCCTACACAATCTCTTCTGTGTCACTCTCGGACAGCCCACTCGTCGTTTCCCATTCGGGTCTCACTTGAGCGCTAGCCTGGCGTACGACATCATTCGACAGCCTCCTCAGAGTGTGTGCCCAATCCATCTCCATTTTCTCCCACCATATTTGTTGAGTAACACCGGCTCTTGGTTGGTTTGTTCCAGGCCAGAGTTTCTTGTCGCTAATTCTTTCTGGGCAGCCTGCTGGCCATTTGATCTTCAATATGAAGCCAACCAGCGAAGGTGGCAGCTTGGTGTCAAAAGTTCGAGAACATTTCATCAATTAGATGAAACATTTTTCAGTGTTCATCAATAAATGTTATTCAATTTCTTTCTTTCTTTCTTTTTCTGTTTGTTTATTTTTAGACGCATTAATTATCATGATTTATGTACTCTAACGCCTATCGAGGATAATTCCACTTTACATTATATGAAGTCAAGACTTCAGGTGTGTTTATTTGACAGTTATATATGTTGTCATATAGTTTAACATCCTTGGGAATTCTCCTCAATCCTTTTTTTCTGCCAAGTTAAAGTGTCACGATCCAGGAGTGCAAATACACCAATGATCTTGAATGCATACTATTCTATTCGTCCGTGGGTAACGAATGAGATCTGCCATTATTATTATTATTATAGTGTCAATATAAGTGCTGTTTGCAAATTAACGTGCAAATTTCACTCCGATCACGTTTTTAAGTAGTGTTCTGACAATGGGTTGATAGCACGGGAACCGTCTTTGTACTTGTGATGCTTCTACGTACATTTACTGGTGTTTAGAAGCAGGTGATGGACATGTATTTAGGTAGTACACACAGTGTAGGAAACGAGAATCAGTGTTCGTCGTAATGGTCAGTTACACACTTAGTTCATCAATGTTTTCTAGAAACTTTCCTACCTAAATCGAAACTACCGCTGATCAATATACTTCTTGAAGGCAATCAACAATCAAAAGCATCTAATATTGTCCTACAGGAAGTCAACTGCCAGCTCAGTGGTAACGTCTCTGACTGCAGTGCTCACTGGGTGACGGGTTTAAATCTCAGAAGGGAAATTAGTTCCTTAGAGATTGCAAATACGCCTTGCTGACGTGGCTGCCTATCGATTGTCTCCAACCATCTAATAACAACAATCCTTGAGTGTACCGTGATGGTGAGCCACCTAGTGGGGCGTGGTGGCCACATTGCCAACGTGACTGATAGAATTCAGTCTGCAGTAAACAAAAGAACTAGACACATCACACTAGTTACTAGTGTCTAATTAGAAGTACACTTCTTATCAGCCATTATCGGATATTAAAGACTGGAGTATGAGATCAGCGGTTGCAGAGATGGCTAATTCCTTAGTATCTTCTGTGAAATGATTCCAACATTGGAGAGATATAGGAGCATCCTGGAAGATGAATGCTGTCACACAGCTATTAGAAGGAGTTAGTGTTATTGTTCACATCAATGAAACAGTTCTCATAAAGAAGAAGTATAACCATGTTCACCCTTGGGCAAATAACGTTTGGGTATTTGGTATTTACGACATGAAGCTTCAGAAGTGAAATGTGGAGGTTATTCGAAGTCGTAGTGCAGACATTTTTCTACCAATTACACAAAGGTTAAATTAGTCGGGGAATATGTAAGGAAATGTAAAAATCAAATAAATAATGATGGGAGTAACAGTGATAATAATGATAATAATAATAGTAACAATAATAATATTAACGACGACACCAACATTTAGGAATCTAAATCATCAACAGTAATTCCATACAAGGAAGGGACCTCGGAAACCACATTACGCAGAATTCTTAACAAGGCAGGAACAAAAGTGGCTGGTATTAAAACCAACCACAAACTCAATTAGAAACAAGCTTTGTCGGTTAAAGGATCAATCCTGATAGCGGAGCCTTTAAAACAAAACAATTTAGTTTATCTAATACCCCGCCTGCTAGAATGATTGTCAGGTCAAATACATAGGTCAAAATAGTAGAACAGGTGCAGTCAGTCAGACTAGCCAAGCTTAAAAACCTAGCAAAATCTAGATTAGTTGACCCGAATAAGATAAGAAATCTAGAGAGTAGTTCAGCTACAGCTCTACATGCAATTACATAAAACTATTAAATAGGATGGATGGGATAAGGTGATAGTTTTAAAATCTAATGTCACAGGGTGGAAGGAGGAGATTGATAACAGAAGCTTTGTTTATCGAATCAACTGCAAACCAACACGTGTAATGAGAATGATTCAACACCTGTCCAGGCAGATATCTGGAAAATTCTACTACCCCAATGACGACGAATAGGAGAGAACAAAGAAAACTACAAAACCTAAGTTTCGAGATCGTGTGATTATATTTGATGATATGATTATGAACAATAAATTTTGTTCGAAACCTTGTCATCCAGTAAATAATACTGTTTCACTATGTGATACATCTAATAAACAAACTAATATGGAATATACAAAGGTTTAGTCATTCCTGATGAATGGGCGAGATACAACCGCCTATTAGATCTAGGATTTATCCATTATCGCGTAGAGCATTCTGACGAACTCGTCGACTCCCTTACTAGGACCCATACCAACTTAATTGAGGGTTTCTGGAATAGATTGCAAAATCGGATAAGAGCAATCAATGGGTTACAAAATGAATCCATTTTCAGTCATCTTGATGAATATATGTATAGAAACTGATTCAACTTAAAAACTGAGACATCCTCATTATAATGGGGACATATTTTTAAGTCATTTCAGGGGGAAATATGCAGTTTAATGTGTTTTCATGTATTTCTTTTGTAAATCGACGCTATATATTTTTGAATGTGAAAGCCACTCTTTTCTCTGATTGGTTGGCTCCAGGTCATTTGCGTGTTCGCATTTCGTGAATCGTGATTGGTTAACTTTGTTTATTTTTTTTCTATATTCAGTATGACTAAATAGTTTTTGTAAACGCACCTTCGATATGGTATCATTCTTAGTAAATTACAAAACAGACAAAATTCGTTTATATTTTTCTTTATCTGTTTATTTTATTTAAAGAATAACTCTTCTAGTTGAAAACTCTATATCATGAAGTAATTCTTTCTGAAGCGACTGCATAACACTTAGATGTTTGTTCTGTCTTGTATTCACATTAATACTAAACTATGGATATAAATAACTGCATGGTTGTGTTTATTATTATCGATGATATTCCTGATTGTGGCAGACTACTGAATCATGCAACATAGACAGTGGAAAGCGTGAAGACAAGCATCACATTAGACCAACAAGAGGAGGATTCTAGAAGATCTGTGGTGGTTCAGCAGTGGAACGCTCGCCAACTACAACCCCACGTGGTCCTGAGTTTCATCGCTAGCCACCGACGCGCTCCTGAACCTTGCTAAGCCGTTAGTAAGGCTCGTAAAGAGGGAAGATTGGGCATTAGGCTGGCTAGCAACCCCATCCCGTTAAATTAAACATCACTGCTACCGAAACGTCAAACCTCTAGGTTGAAGCCCTATGTTCCACTGGGGACGTTAAGGAATAAAAAAGGGGGATAGAATGGATGAATTACAAAACTTTCAAAGATTATTTTAAAAAATCAACTGGTGTAAAGATTTTAAAATTGTAAATCAAGTGTTTTCTAAAAAAAAATAAGTGTACGATGATGATAACAATAAAGACAGCTAAGGTTGAGTAAGCTGGAATGAATTCAAGTGATAAAATGGAGTAACATAAAAGAACATAACTATGACCAAGCTAGAGAAGTGAGTTTAACAAATAGTTTTTGACCACACAAATTTACGTTTCTGTCCATGTTAATAGCTAGAGCTTCGGCTATGCATAAGTATAGAAAATGTAAACATTTGGAATGAATTGATTGAGTTCCAGTGGCTTACTGGTCTACGAGCTCGCTAGCCTTGTAACTAGAAGGTCCTGGGTTCAACAAACCCTGTCGGTGGGCGCATACTGATGAAGAGTCCCGCACTAGGACGATACAATTGCGTAGTACTCCTAGTTGGTTTTCTAATGCTTCTCCAACCGGTGTGAACTCATCATGAAATCCTTCAACTAAGTTTTGTAATTCTCGCCTGATCATATTTCCTCAATATAAATGTTGTTATTTTAAATTTATTTATTTTCGTTTTGTTTGTTTACCAATTTAGGATGTACATATAAGTAAAACAGATACTGTGCATGGACGGAGTGCATTAATGTCTGTACTTGAACAAGTCTATCGATTTACTCTAGGATCTGTTGCTGGAGCATTTGGTGCTACTGCTGTTTATCCTATTGATTTAGTTAAAACAAGAATGCAAAATCAACGTACTGGATCAACAATTGGTGAACTTATGTATAAAAATAGTTGGGATTGTTTTCGAAAAGTTATACGGTATGTATTTATTATATAGACTTTATTATTATTATTACTGTTCACTTTGGTTCCTAGTGGAACACAAGGCTTCAACAACACATCTCCACTTTGTCCTGTTCTCTGAAGCCGTCTTTAGATGGCCCCACCATTGCCTGTAGGCTCTCTTATCGCCTTGTCACGGGATCTTCTCAATTTCACTGTCGCACCCACGCGGAACTCGTCGTTTCCTGTTCAGGTTCAACTCGACGACCTGAGGAGTGATGGTACTTAATTGGTTTGTTCCTAGACTTTCTTGTTGCTAATTCCTACTGGCTGGCCTTTTGATCTTGATCTTCAATATGGTACCAGCGAAAGGGGGCAGCCGTTGATAAAAGTGTACACCGGCCTGTTGGAAATGCTTTTCGTCACTGATACACAGTGCAAGTTTCTGACCTTAAAATTGGCGTTGAAAATCTGAATCTTGTTATTTATGTTGACTGACTGAGTGCAGAAGATTTTCGAACTGGTTTCAGTTTGATGAAGCCGTATCATGCTTGTCTTTTCGATTCTAGCTGGCTCTGATATCTTCATCCGGGCCGTCCGCTGGCCTGTGGTTGAAAGCGTGCTTCCCAGCTGGATATATGAAGGAACTAACCGCTCTTAAATGTCTCCCGCTGATGGTGATTGGTGCTGGTTGATGTTGGTGTTGGTTGGTTATCTTTATCACCTCTGTCTTCTCTATGTTCACCCGGAGTTCTGTCTCCGCTGCCTGCCTCGCCTCTTCAGCCATTATATTAGTTTTCATCTGTTAGTCTTCGAGTCTGTATGATCTTAGACGTGAATCATCTGCAAAATCGAGATCTTCTAGAGTCTTCTTATCGGTGGTCCAGAGTTTCCCATTCTCCTCGCTCCTTGTCCGCAGTCTGACGCGTAATGCAGTCTACCACAATTAAGAATAACATCGGTGATAATAGACAGGCAGCTTTGTCTTGCTCCTGTATTCCCTTCGAACACCTCTCTAAGTTTTCGTTTGTGAATCACCTGTCACGTGGAATTGTCATATAGCCAGCTGTTGTATGAGGTTGATAAAGATTTGGGGCACTGCATGCCGTATTGTTGAAGTAGTTTCCAAATTACTTCTCGGTCAGCGCTGTCTGTCGAAGGCCTTTTCGAAGTCGATGAAGTTAAGGTAGGTAGAGGTTTGACTGACTGCTAATGACACATATAGTTCTGCCCTCATTAGTATTACAGTATTTCGTATTTTTGTTTCTGGATAAGACGAAGGTATTTTGACATCGCTTACTCGAAGAGTTTTATAAACATTGGGGAATTTTTGAATGTTCAGGAGCTGTGAGTACAGAGACTGTTGAGAGTTTGAGACAAATCACCACATAAGCGTCGAGAGAATATTAATGGATTGGGATCATGGGCAGAACGTGTTTATCGAGCGGAAGTTGTGTCTTTCTTTATAACTGTGATAGAACATGACCATTGAGAGTGGTAGACTTGAAGAGACCAGCTGTCTTTGACAGCAGATGTTTGCATTCTATCTCCTGAATTAAATGGATTAGTGTGGTGAGAAATACTGAGATTAAGTATGAAGGGGGGGGTGGTAAGTCAATCGATGAGGTTGTGAAACTACATTTGTCACCTATCTGAAGTTATGACTTCTCTTGTCGAGCGATTGTCTTCTGATATTGGATTCTCTTGGAAAAGAGTTAGTAGTAGTACTAGTAGTAGTAATAGTAGTCAGAACAAGACATGGAGCCGATACCTGAAGTCTTCGACTATCTGTTTATGGGCCAACTGGGGAGAGGTATAGACTGTCTAGCTGTGGAGTCCTCGACACACTAATATCGTGTGACTCGAGACTTTTGACATCACGAAACGAATTCGTTCTCAATGGTGCCTACGCATTCTACTCTTTGTAATCTCGCAGACTCATTAAGTCCTCATGTTTTTTTTCGTATAATGATTCCTTTTCATGTACATTTCCGCTCCTTATAGCTTCTTTGAATTTTTTCAATTTCTTCCTTATTGTGTTTATTATATGAAGTATGGCAACTCGAACTGCTATACTTTTGCTCAAAGTTCCATATTTAACATTAAGTCAGTCAGTATAGTGAAAAATTGTTGTTGGGTGACTACTTACCAAGATTAGCATCCAACCAGCGGTATCCAGGATAACGCGCATTTTGTCCTGTTTGGGACTACTCGTCCACTTGGTGTACCTGTATTCCCCATTGGGTGATGTTGTTTTCACTGAAGCTCGAGCCCAGTGCCCATAGTTTCAAACACCAAAGCGTTATCCATCAGGCCACTTAAGCCACCTGTTGTGCAACGGGTCTTATTAATTATTTAATTCAATTTAGATTTTATCATCGATTGATTGAGCCGAAGTGGTCGGTTTAAATTGAATTAAATAATTAATAAGACCAGTTACACAAGAAAGAGGTGGCTGTCGTGGCCCAAACGGTCTACTGGGTAGCGCTTTGACGTTTGAAACTATGGGCACTGGGTTCGAGCGTCGTTTGGAACAACACCATTTACTACGGAATACAGGTACATCCAGATGACGAGTCCCAAGTAGGACGAAATACGTGTTATCCTGGATTTCACTACTTGTCACCACCCACCGAATGACTTCAGGTTAAGTTCTCGGACATTGCCGAAGCATCCGGACAGGGAACCGACATGTCAACAGAGGCCGAGCACTTCGGTCCAACCAATCAATTGATGGCATAATCCAAATTGAACTAAATAATGTGTAATTTACTTTACTCTAAGTACAGAAAATCTTCTCCTGTGTTACCTGAATTGTATTTAAGCCTACTTAAGTGATCACTTCCATGCTATAGCCGCATAGTAAAAATATGTATTCGAATTATTCATCATCTTAACTACAAGGTCGTGGGTTCGAACTCTGGTGGGGGGGGGAGTTCTGCCAATGAGTCTCAAACTAGAGCAATACAGTTATCCAGTACTCCCTCACTTCCCAATGGTTCTCTCTCTCTCTGACTGACGTTAGCTCGTGATAAAACTTGGAACAAATCATCAAATCCTTAAAAACTAACTCTTGAGAATGTGTGAAATAATCTACAATATTCCCTCCCAAAAATTTGCATACAGAAATAGCAGTGCCTTTTATCTGAAACATCATATAACCGATATGACTAGTCAACCCAAAACGTGTGCCTATGATATCAAGATTTCCCGAACTGAACTAACTGGTTGAAAGTGGAGGCACCTCTTAAACCCTTGAACCGTGTAACCCCCCTTTTTTTATTCTAATTGTTTTTAACTCATATTTCTATTTCTAGATACGAAGGTTTCACTGGCCTGTATCGAGGTCTAGGACCACAACTGTTAGGTGTTGCCCCTGAAAAAGCTATCAAACTAACTGTCAACGATATAGTTCGTGATCAATTCACTAAACCAAATGGTGATATTTCAATATATGCAGAAATTCTAGCTGGAGGTTGTGCTGGTGGTAGTCAAGTGATATTTACCAATCCATTGGAAATTGTTAAGATAAGACTTCAAGTTGCTGGAGAAATTGCTAGTACAAAGCGTATATCAGCTTTTTCAGTAAGATTATTACTATTATTATTATTATTATTATTAATTTGTGTTTTTAAGAAAAGAATATTTTTATTTTCCGATAACTTATTTTTTTCATCAGGTTCTACAGCTACATATTCATAATAATTAAAGAATTATTGTTATTAACAACATTAATGCTGTTTTAATTAGCTTACATTGAATCCATTACGAGCTCGCCTTGTAACCAGAAGGTTCTGGGTTTGAACCCTGTCAGCGGGTGGGTGCGTACTGGTGAAGAGTCCCAAACTAAGACGAAACAGCTGTGCAGTACTCCCAGGTTTTCTAATGGTTCTCTAACTGACATCAGTATATAACACTAAACCAAATATCAAATAAATTACGAAGAAAAATAATGCCAAATTTATCGATTTATGGGTTCTACAGAAGGTCCTGTTAGCAATAATGGTTAGATCTGTTTCTTTTACGTCGTCTACAGACTTCCAGTTGTTTTAATAGAGTTGGAATGACCTCTGTCTTTTTGAGTTATTTCATACCTAAAGGTCCGGGTTTGATCCTCGCCTAGTAGCAGGCAGTAAGCCCGAAGAAAAAGCGGAAAGTTGGGTGTGTGAGGTTAGCAACTCTACCCCATAATAGTAACATTCTAGGAAACCAATTAGTTAGTCTGCCTAAACGACTTCGAGTTCTCTTTCGGTTGGTTTCGACTAGAAATAGCGCTCACGATTGGTGTATGGTCAACTATTCTGCTAGACTTAAACCATAGTCACACTTCCCGATGACCTTTTGTCCTGGTCCAGCTAACTTGGTGACCAGACTTTTCTTAACACCTACGGCTGTCCAAGAATGAGTACGTGACGACGATTTAAAGTGAATTTAGAGCTGTCTAGCCACCCGATGTTTCGCTTTGTACGTATAAACAAATTAATCGTTGAAGGTTCGATTGATTTAACGAACTTCTCTGTTGATCGCCTACAACAGCCCCACACACCCTCTCTCTGCTGAAACTTTAAAGCTTGCGACTCCATGTCTGTCCACTGGAATGAAAAAATGTAGTAAGAATATACATGGTTAATAGTTTTTCTTTTCGATATTCTTAACTATTTTTATTGATCATGTTTTTTCTGTTAATCTCTCTCTCTTATTGTGATACATAATATATGTGAATATTAAATTTCAATTCGTTAGAGTATAAATCTTCAAGTTTTCTTCATAGTAAATTTTGCTTACATATATATTAAATTGACCTCTCGAAAATGTCAACTTCTTAAAATGAGTTTCATTTACATTACTCCAAAAGTCATGTGTATCTACTATACAAATGAAGTATTGTCATAGAGATCAAACTAAAGTCAGTTTATTGTTATTTTATTAAGAAAATTAAGACCTTTCAACCATTATGACCCGACTCAATGGCCATTACATGAATTCTAACTTCTATCAATTCGTGATTTTAGCGCGTCTGCCATCGGCGAGCGTTTGTCCTTACTCTCAACAGGATAGACCCCACTGGCCACGACTTCTCACTAGAACTCCAGGAAACTACTTTCTGTAGCCAGTCACTAAGGAGCATCGGATTAATCTTTCAAGAGTTGATTTTTAGGGATTCGATTTGTTTTTAAAGTTTGAGAGAACTATTGGCAACCAGTATATTGGAGTACTGCATAGCTGTTTCATCCCAGTCTGGGACTTATCATCAGTACGCTCACACTGCCACGTTTCGAACCCACGACCTTCCGGTTACAAGGGTGCGTGCTGCGTACTGCCGACGAGTCCCCAGACTAGGATGAAACAGTACTCCTACGCTGGTTTTCAATGGTTCTCTTTTTTTCTTCACGTTCCCAGTGGAACATAGGGCTTCAAGCTAGTGGCTTGAAGTTTCTGTAGCAGTGTTTATTTTTTACAGGATGAGGTTGCCTGGCCTCATGCCCAACCTTTCCTCTTTACCGACTTTTATTACTGGTTTGGCGAGGTAAAGGAGTGAGTCGGTAGGGGATCGAAACCCGGACCATGTGCATGGTCGGCGAGTGTCCTAACCACTATGCCACCGACGCACTGGTTCTCTAACTGATATACGATCGCAATCGTGTATCAAGTAGTGTATCATAGATTTTACCAATTAGTATGTAACGGAGGACAAGAGGACTTGGTAACAGCATGTTTATATGCGATTTGATTGATATACGCATGTAACGTAATTATATATACCTTATAGTGAAGTCGTTATTTGCACAGATCTCCCATGTTATGCAACCTATGCCCTGTGTACTGTGTTTCTTTGTCTTCTTTTCGTGTCTTCCATGTTTCTCCACCATACTGGTTAATTTTCTCTCTTTGACATCAAATCTCAGTCTCCGCTATTTGATATTTTTGTGTGCCGATTAATATCTGTTTATATACTACTGATAAATCTTGTCAGTAGCACATGTCACAAGTATATATATATATATATATATATCAGTTACATAGAATTCAGCTATTCAGAAAAGATTTCTTGTCCCTCAGGCTATGACTGACACTTATTATTTTGTGAGGTTTACTGACGTTACTCACCTGTTGCTGGCCATACTGAAGTGTATGGTGTGGGATTCGGAACCAGGAACGATTAAGTGAATGTCAAATTGTGCTAAAGTCATCTGCTGTTTCATTAGTGTCATGTATTGATTCTTGGTTTCTCCATTATCATCTATGATATTCAGTAATTTTGGTTTCCAAAGGAAACTGTGGTGACATTTCACCTCCTTGAACGGTGCAAATCGCTAATTGCGACTATTACTCAACGTATTATCAGTTCACCTAAGTAGTTCACGTGATTTCCACTAATTCGGTTCTCTGAGCTGATTCACACCGAGTACACCCGTGATGAACTCTACCTGAAACAAGCAAAATAGCCGTCTTATGTTTATATCCCTTCGATCTGATTGGTTGGCAAGCACTACTGTTTGGTGCGAGTGGTATTCAATTTCCAATATGATTATTGAAAGAATTAACCAACTTTATTGATATATATCTTATGGTAGGTCAATTTCTGTTAAGGCTTCTTTTGGTTACAGGATTTTATCATGATCTGACATCGTTTAGAGAACCATTGGAAAGTCAGCCAGTGAGTAATTGACAGCTGTTTCGTCAGCCTAGTTTGGAACTCCGCTTCATCAGTACACACCCACCCACCCACCGACAGGAATCGAACCTAGAACCTTCTGGTTACAAGACTAACGAGCTCGTAGACCATTCAGCCACTGAGTCCCGCCAATCTAATGGCTAGCCCGTGAATTCCAACTTCTGCTAATTCTTTTATTAAACAAGAACTGTCTGTTAATTCATGTTTACAACTACAACTACCACAAAACTGTGTTGGCCTACACCTGTGATGAAAGATTGTCACATTACAGACTAGTCATCAAGGATAAAGAAAATTTGCATTCTATAAATATGACTAGTTTTAAATAATAATTTGTCACACATAGTGAGTAAATGTCCCAGTGGTTGAACGGTTAATGCGCGTTTGCATCCTACTCTGGAGGTCCTATGTTCGACCTCCGGTGGGTCATGAGTACCTACCGATAAAGAGTCCCAAACTAAAACGAAGCAAATGTTAGTGGTAGAATACTCACTAGGGACACAAGAAGGCGTTTGATTTCAGGCTAACGAACTCCTAAACCTCTTCTAGCTTCCTTTATTGAACAGTTGAGCTGTATAATTTATGAATTCAGGGAATCTCTTTATTATCACATATAAAATCAGGATTTCACCATTGAATAAAATGCGATCGCCAGGTGTTAAATTGCTGCTAGATTCTAGGACAGAAACGACGTCAATCAGTCAAGCCCTTATGAGTTTTCTACTGACACAATATACAAGATGAAATTACCCCAAGTCTCCCTCTTAATGAGGTTGTGGGGAGAGCTGTCTGCAAGTCAAAACTATAAACAACAGTTTACGTCAGTGTTTACGTCCTGTTTCGGAGTAATAAGAAAAAAGAATTACAAAGCCTCACCTTGAGGAACTCACCAACCAATCGCAGCAGACTTAACGTGTGCAAATATGATTCGCAGATATATGGCATAACTTTCTAAGAAACTGTTACAAGCAGGACAGAATAACCTTCAATAAGAAAACAGCCAGTCAGAAGAGGTTGCTTCTCTGCTAATAATAATGCACAAAAACCTATGAATACCCTTTGACTTTCCCAATAAAAAATCTGTTGCCTGGCCGTTGTCTTCTGTCGTTACAAGGTTAACTAGTACTCAGCTTAATTTCATATAATAGAATTCCATCATTATCAATATTATTGTTTTTATTTCTCTATTTTGCTATATACAGGTTATTAAAGAATTAGGCTTTTTTGGACTTTATAAGGGATCACGTGCCTGTTTTCTTCGTGATATTCCATTTTCGGGCATTTATTTCACCGCCTATAACAATTTAAAAAAGTATTTTTCTGATGAAGATGGGTGTAATTCACCAGCTACCCTGTTGTTAGCTGCAACTTTGTCCGGTGCACCAGCTGCATTTTTCACGACTCCAGCAGATGTTATAAAAACAAGATTACAGGTATGTGTATAAATCATATGCGCATGTGTGTGCGTGTGTCTTAGTGTCCTAGTCTTTTTTTCTATTCTTTTACGTTCACAGTGGAACATAGGGCTTCAAACTAGAGACTTGAAGTTCCGGTATCAGTGGTGTTAATAATTTTTGCGGGATGGGGTCTCTAACCTCATGCCCAACCTTCCCTCTTTACCAGTCTTATTACTGGCCTATCGAGGTAAGAGAGTGCATCGATGGCTTGGGATCGAACCCCCAACATTCTACTGATGTGTCACCGAAGCACGTCACCGTCAACTAGGCTGTACATTTGTGTATTTATAATTAATGGGTGGGAAAGTTCCAGAATAATTTCCGATCAAGGGTCAAATTAGTAAAATTACAATTAGGAATTAAAATGCCTTAATAAACAGGGGTGGGGCCGGATAAAACTCAAACAAAGTAGGCCGTGGCAGGGACAAGGGTTAGACGTGGGTTTGAGCTTTTGGATAGCTAGTGCCTCGGCTATACCCTGACATTTTAATATTACTCCCTTTGATAGGTTTGATCGAATCTTGTATATTATTTTGAAGGATTTTTCGAAAGGCGCTGAATGCCCTGAATTGACCAGATGTTCTGTCACTCAACTATATACACGTTTTCGTTCTCCTTTTACTAGCCTGACTGTATAATGTTCACGAGCGCGTTTTTCAAGTTGGAGCATGGTACGGCTGATGTACTCAGCTTCTCACGACCAAGTAAACTGGTAGATGTACGTTGAAGTGGCTCAATGCGACAGCTTGTCTTTCGCGTTCTGGCTGAACAGGTTCTTGCAGGAAAACGTCAGTCGTAGGCTCGTGGTGACATATGTATTCCTCAGAAATTTGCAGAGGCGTTTCCGAAGGATTTCTGCTTCGATGTCACCTTTGAATTCTATTCCGTGGTTCGATAATGTTGTAGAGCGGCTCGTCAGTCTCGCGGGATGTCCAGGTTCACCTCCTAGTCGACGCACTCGTAAATCCTGCATTATTTTGCTAACCTGTAGGTAGTAAGCTAGATTAAGAGGGAAAGGTGAGCGTGAGGCTCTACCTCTACTGAAATTTCAAAATCTGAAGTATGCTATGTTCTACTTGGAACGCAAGAAATAATGAAAACGAGTTACACTGGTTAAATACTTGACTTCAAGCACGTTTTTTTCAGTCCTTCCGCATATCTCATCATTTGATAATATAATGTGCTCAAAGTTTGTATGAGTGTAGAGTATATTCACTACAGTGGGTTCTTACAATTATAAAACCCAATAATTTGCCAGTATACAGTGTATACATCTTCCTACGCGGAATATAACTGGGCATCTAAAATTAGATCAGTTTCAATTTATGAATTTATTTATTTTATGAACTTTGATTATTACAAATGTAATAATAATAATAATTATGTAATGTAATAATCAAAAGAAACGAATTAGATAAAACTCACAACTTAATAAACAACGTCTTCAACGACATCAAATTCACAAGAGAAGAGGAATCCGAGAACAAAATACCATTTTCGGACGTCTTAGTCAAGCGAACAACCACAGGAGAATTAGAAACTCAAGTTTATAGAAAATCTACTCACAAAGACCAAACCCTGAATTACAACAGCAACAATCCAATAACACACAAAAGGAATTGCATACAAAGACTATTCAGGAGAGCAAGGACTCATTGCAGCACTCCCACCTTAAGGAAAATTGAAGAAAAGTATCTCATGGACGTCTTTCAAAAGAATGGATATCCACAGAATTTCATCAAAAGACATATACCCCAAGCCAATCTATAAAACCAAAAGCTCCAACCAAGGAAAACACAAAGAAAATCGCCTTACCATATATAAAGGATATCTCAGAAATCACTACAAGACTCTTCAAACCTCTAGGAATTGACGTCGTACATAAACCAACAAAGTCACTGCACTCAATTCTATGTCAACCAAAAGACTCAACAGCGAAAGAAGATAAAACTAACACCATCTACAAAATAAATTGTAACAACTGCGAAAAACACTACATTGGCCAAAGTGGACGTCCCCTTCGTCTTCCCATCCACGAACAAAAGCTAGTCGTCAATAGACATGATATCCACTCCTTCATATCGCCTAGCTGCATACAGACAACCACGGACATCAATTCGACTGGGACAACCAGTGTTCAAATATTAGACAGAGGAAACACCAAGAATGCTAGAGAATTTTAGAAGCTTGGCATTCCAGTGAATCGTCAATCAATAGACACATCGAGATAGACAAAATTTATCAACCGATAAGAAAGAAACTTCACACACAAAGGGTCAAAGTTCAAGTCAAAGAAACAATGAGTTCCAATACAAGTAGCCTACAGGGTGTGAAAACACACAAAAACAACTAATCATGTTCAAGGTGGTCACCAGGAGAGATGATTAATAAACTCGTGGAGAAATCTCAAAGCTCACTTCATCAAATTGAAGTATGCGCTGAAGATGTCGCCTAGACGGGCGATGAAAGCTTCGCAAATAAACCACTATCCAGCTCAGAGAACACAACCACATCAGAATCATCATAATAATAAAAGTAAAGTTTGCAGTGTATACATTTTCCTACGCGGAATGTAATTGCGCATCTAAAATTATATCAGTTTCAATTTTTAAATTAGTGAGATGACTTATACTCCGCGAATTTTTAAAATTAGTATTGAACGAAAGATGATTACTTCTCATATAAATCGTTACAGTATGAAAAAGGAAATTCAATCAAACAAACAAAGAAAGAACGAACATATTTGCAGGATAATACTGACTGCATTTTTCTTTTCATAGATCTCTTCAACTGTGTACACATCCTAAACAAATTCAAATTATAAGTTACTAAATGAGATGACTAATCTCTCACTATCCTGGGTAACTGTAATTGTTTTGTTTTTCGTTTACTTTTATGTTTTGTTCTGTTGTTGTGTAAGACTCCATTTAATTTTGTGTTTGATTTTCACTCACTCTTAGTTGAACTCACTGTTAAGTTTTCAAATGTATTTCATTGTTTTGTCTATGTCATAATCTTTCTTACCTGACTGTTCACTCACAACGTCTTTAACTCTTCATCATAATATGTGTCAATTCAGACTGTTGTTTGATCTTGTAGTTTGTCTCTAGTCTATCTTTGTTTCCAAACGAAATCTGACCTCTACACGTCCCCCCCCATCCTCCCTTGTCTAATTATATTATAAATTTGTCTGCTTACATCATTTTTTAAGAATTATATTGCTGGTACTTTCTATCTATAACTCGACATTACTGTGACAAAAGTATGTTCACAAAACCATGTCAAGGAACTTAATCCTAAGTTTATATACATATATATATATATATATATTTGTTGTTCCCTTGGGTTCCTAGTAGAACATAGGGCTTCAACTGTACATCTCCATTTGCTTCTGTCTTCCTTCTGCTGTACTTTTCACCTTCATCCATCCATGTTAGTCCATACTCTTTCAACTCCTCTTCACAAGATCTCCTCCATGTCACCTTTGGACGTCCCACTCGCCGATTACCTTTCAACCTGGTTCCACTCGAGCAATGGCCTGACGCGCGCGCGATGTCACCCAGCGACCTCTTCAGCGAGTGTCCAATCCATCCATTTTCACTTCCTCCTGCATATTTGTTGGTTGGCGATTGGTTAGTTCTTGTTTTGTTTGTTCCCAGCCATAGTTTCTTGTTGGTGATTCTTTCCGACCCGGCCATCTGATCTTCAGTATAGATCCAGCGAAGACAGTTAGTTGTTGATATAGGTCTGAGTTAGCCTGTTGGAAATATTCTTTGTGACCCGCCCACCAAGTTTCTGATCCGTATAGAAGAACTGACTGACTTGACGTTTGTACTGAAAATCCAACCGAATTTTTTGTTGATGATGGCTGAGTGACGAATATTTCCAGATTGATTTCAGGTTGATGAATGTGTTTCTCGCTCGATTTGACATCCTCGTCCGTTCTGACTTCCTGTAGTTGAGACAATGCTCCCTAGATAAGTGAATGAAGTAGCCTCTTTCATATCCCTCCCTTTGATGGTGATTGACGCTGGATGTTGCTGTTGTGTTGTTGTTGGTTGGTTGGCTGGTTATTTTCATAACCTCCGTCTTGTCTATGTTCACTTGGAGTTCTGTCTTTGCTGCTTCTTCAACCAGTTTGTCGGTTTTCGCTTGTAAGTCTTCGGTTTTGTGTGACATCAAACATAAATCATCCACGCGCGAAATCCAGGTCTTCTAGGTTCTTCACGTCGGTCCAGGATATTCCTGTCTTCTCTTTTCCCACTGTCTCGTGCATAATCCAGTCAGTCCACCACAATTAGGAATATCATTGGTGATAATATGCCACCACCCTTGTCTGACTCCTGTGTTTACTCCAAACGCCTCGCTGAGTCTTTCGTAGTCGATCACTTGACATGTGCCTTGTGTCGTACAGCTGTTGAATAAGGTTGATGAATATTTGGGACACTGTACGCCGTAGTCCTCGAGTAGTTTCCGAATTACTTCGCGGTCAACGTTATAATTCTAAGTGAGGTCTTATTATTTCCGAACAGGTTCCGAATTTGGCAACCACTAAGCACAGATATTGACTTTAATTCATAAATACAATGAATGGATGACAAAAAATTGTATTCTTCGATTGTTAAAAATCACTATTCTATACTAAGTCTATAAACAAATGTTTTTCCAAAGGAATGTACTATACTTTTATTCGTATTCTTTCGCATTCTTCTAACTTGTACACGATCGAATCACTTGCGCCTTCAAGTTGCCTGCCGCTAATGGCGACCATGGCCAATGACCAGACGTTCAGTGTTCATAGTCACTGACACACACCATTTTGTAACTTATAATTTGATTTTGTGTAGCATGTGTACACAGTTGAAGAGAATCCATGAAATAAAAGGAGCTTGTATTATTATCCTGCCCGCCTGCAGATATAATAATAATAATGATAATAATTTGCTTTATTCCAGAAACACTACAATGGTGCATCTAATTTTATCAAACATTTAAAAAGGAGTATTTTCAAGAAATAAATATAAAAAACAACAGCAACAACAAAAACAAAGAAAAACACAAAAATAACAAAAAACACGAAAAAAATACCAAGTAGAAAGGAAAATAAACAACATGATAAATAATATCTCAGTATTGGGTAGTGGAAGCTATGATATGTTTATGCGTGGTGAACAGTAAAGCTATGATCATACAAGAAGTTATGAGATGTTCTTAAGAATGTTTATAGCCAAGATGATCAGTTAATTTGATTGAACAACACTGAACAATCATAAAATAAACATTTCAGAATTCTTTTTATTGTCAGCTCTAATGCGGTGTTTGTAGTGATAGTGTGAGTAATCCTGCATAATACAAAATTTTTAAGATGGTAATAATGGAATTCACAACCAAGATTGTCAGTCAATATTGCCGAACAAAAAACAACCACAAAACTAATATTACATGATGGTTAATGACAGGACAATTTTGTTATACTCATAGTGATAATATAGTCGGAACCAGTAGATAAACAAAAGAGGGAATAGAATAAAGAATAAAAAAGTAAGCCATTGTTAATAATATAGGTAGCTAAGTGTGTTTAAGAAGGTGTTGACTATAGAATACAAATAAGAGAGAAATAAAAGAGCCAAAATTATGTTATTAACAACAAAGCAAGTCATAGGCTTCGCGCTTAACATTGTCTCTGTCACTTAGAACACGGGCCAAATATGGTATCATTGAGTTCTTATACTTGGTTGTACGAGCATATATTATTTTCTACTGATTTCTGGTTCTACCTGATGAGATGCAAGGAGAGAGTTGGGAATAGAGGGGGTGTTAGGGGGTCAGAGAGTATGGCTTTAGACCATTTTTCGCATGTATTCAGATGGCTTTCTACTAATGTAGTGACGAGCTGACTGAGTTTTACACCACTGGTCCTACTAACTACCTTCAACATCCTTCTTAGGATGGTATAGTCTTTTTTTCAGTAACCCAGGAACGACTAATGGGGAGCAGTAAAGTACATTAGGTAAGATACGAGAGTTGACAAATTGTGAAAGTAGAGGTTGGGGGATTCCAGATATTCTAAGTTCATTCCTTCTTTATTCAAACTACTATCGCTCAAACCGGTTGGAATTAATTTGACCAGTTATTTCAAGAAGTGAAAATTTCATCAATATATGGAATAAAAATAGGATGAAGTCATTTGTTATACCTTACTCCCCAAAAAACACATAAAAGGAAGAATACTTAGTCTAGTTAAAACGTCATAGCGACGTAGATGACTATTGGCAATAGAGCCTATGCAAATTAGTGACTAAATTTAGAATTCACGGATCATTGGATTCTAATCCATTGGCTGATTGGTTGATGAGTTCGTTTTGTAAACTTACAATTATAGGTGTAGACTACTGAAGAGTCCCAAAGTAGGGTGAAACCGCTTTTCCTGACTCTTTCTCTGTTACTCAATGAGTCTCTGACTAATCTTGATTGGTGACGAAATCTACACGTAAATTTATCCATATCCTTAGAAAAATTCATAACCTGAAACTTTATATAGCGAAAATATTCATTCAGACATTTAGAAAAAGCAAAAAATTCAGCAAATAATGTCCTTTTCGATAATTTCCTCTTCTGGCTGTACAGTTATGTATTTATATACATAAAATATTCTAGAATAGTAGTCAATAACAATATTAGTGTTTTTTTAAGATAATATCGATTTGTTGAGTAAGATCACAATGGAATTACAGTTCCCTAAAGATGCATAAATTAGAATAGGCATAAAAGCGTTATAGCAAATAAAATTAAGGGAATTTCTACAAAAAATTAAGGATCACTAAAACCTTGATGACCAGAGGGATAAGGACAATGTCTGAAACAGCCAACTTCTTTTGGATATATAAGTTAGGCTTCTTAATGTGGTTACCAACCAGCCAGCCTCAGGAATATGTAGTAGACGAACTGTTAAGGTGAAGTTAAAATTAGTTGGTATGCCGTGGATAACTTTGAAAGCTGCCTTGTTAACATCAATCATGTGTTCTGCATCCACAAGATGAGATAGAATAGAGCTATGAAAGGAATTTTTTTTGTTCATTACTTAACCATGCAAAATGATGTTCAGAAATCCGACGAGAAACACACCTAATTGTACGACCTCTGCAACAAACTGGTTCCACAGGAGCAGTCAAATTGGTAGATACATGTGGAAGAGGCGAAACTAGGCAGTTTGTCTCTAATTCCCGAACGCAAAAAAAAAAGACTATTTGTCTTATTAGACTAAGAATTGACTTGATTTCCATTTCTATTCCCGCTTCTTATCGACTCATTGTCAAGATGTACTAAACCGCTTTTTGCTGTTGTTACTGTTGTAAACATTAGGTTGTTGCACGTACAGGACAAACAACTTATACTGGGGTGATTGATGCAGCACGTAAAATTTGGCGTGAAGAAGGCGGTCGTGCCTTCTGGAAAGGGTCATTAGCTCGTGTTTTTCGATCTAGCCCACAATTTGGTGTTACACTTTTATCCTATGAAATGTTACAACGATATCTTTCAATGGATTTCGGTGGAAGGTAAGTTTTGTTCTACTTTTTGTCTTGTCACACAGTCTCATTTTTTGTTGACTAAATCCCCATTTGAATTTTAAGAAAAAATATCAATATTTTCATTGATTACCAGTATAAGACATTGATATTATATGTCAGTGGTTAGGACTCTCGCCGACCATGCACATGGTACGAGGTCCGATCCCCTGCCGACGCACACCTGATATCTATGGTCGGCCTGCAAGATTTGGGCTACCGATATCCATGCTGAAAATTCCATACTTGTACGAAAATACAGTGTGGAATCAAGCTGTAAATCAAAAAAATAAAAATAAAAAAACAGTGAAAAGTGGGCCTTCAAACGTTTTTTTTTTAATGCTCAATAAGTTGACTGGATCATCAAGACACACCTGTCGCTTAGATTTTAAGGAAGAATTGAATGATACAATGCTTGTCATACTCTGTCAAACCTTCTAAGTATTGTCCTTGAAAATCAACCCTTAAATAGGTCTTCATTACGCCGATACCATGTATCGTAAAAAATGGCATTCACATCTGAATCATAAATTTTTAATAACAGTGGTAACGGAGAGATTGGCTTCGTGATAAAGCTGAACCAAATTCTGTTGCTCTCTGTTAATAATTCCCACTTTTGTAGGATCTACAGTTGTAGAATTACTTTTGGCCTACAGAATTAGACCTTCCTCAGTACTGACGACACAGAGTCTTGGCTTAACTATAGTTAAAAAAAAACATAGTGACTTGACTTAAACTTTATCTGTTTTTAAAACATAAAATAAACCATACAATGTGAAGTCAGTGCTACTGACTATACGGATCAGAGACTTGGTCAGCGCGTCGTAAAGAGCATCTCAAACAAACTTCAGACCTTCATTAACAGTTGTCTTCACTCAATGCTGAAGATCAGATGGCTGACCAGGAAAGATCAGCAACAGGGATCTCTGGCGATGAGCGAACCAACACAACAGGAACCGATTGTGAAATAAATAGGCAGGAAGAAATGGAGATGGATTGGCCATACTCTGAGGAAACCATCAAGTGACATCACTAGACAAGCCCTCGAGTGAAACCCGACCGAATGGGAAGCGGCGAGTTGGTCGTCAGTGTGAGGTTGACTTGTAGGAGGTCATATGAAGAGGAAATGAAAGCGTGTGGGCAGACTTGGAGCGGAGTGAAAAAGTTGGCAGAAAACAGAAGGCAATTGAGATGTGTATCTGAAACCCTGTGTTCCTCTAGGAATTAAAGGACATAATGATAATAATACACCAAGAAAATTATAAACCCAGTTTTACTTAAGAAAAGACAAAAACGTACCGAACAGTATCGAGGGTACGGACAAAGTGAACAGTTAATTAATTACATGTACACACAAGTAGAGTGACAGAAAACAAACAACACTCAAGGTCACATCACGTGGTGTGAGTTACATTAAATTAACCAATTATTGAGACAAAAAAGGTCACATAATATTGATTAACTGTCTATCAAACAGTCTATCAATCTTCGAGTGTTGGTTTGTAGGGATTTCATCGGTTGCAGGATTTCATCATGAGCTGACATCAGTTAGGGAACCATTGGAAAACCAGCTAGGGGAGTACTGGACAGCTGTTTCGTCAGTCGAGTTTGGGACTCTTCAACAGTACGCACCCCACCGGGGTTCGAACCCAGGACCTTCTGGTTACAAGGCGAGCTCGTAGACCATTAAGCCACTGGGGCTCGATCCAATGGCCCATGAATTCTAACTTCTGCCAATTCACGATATAGCGCAACCCCCAGCCATTGTCTTCGGTGGCGAGTATTTGTCCTCACACCCTATCTATCTGTCGCGATTAACAATAGTTTTCCTCATCTCTCTAAATTATTATAATCTCTGACTCTTCATATGAATAAGGTTAACCTCTGACAATTTCCTAATATATTTTCTCTGACCTAAATTGGCAATTGCCAAAATCTCTCGTACATTAATATTGGGATGTGCGGGTAAGAGGTGATTATTAATTCCCGAACGAAATAATAGTAATAATACAGAAAAGAGATATCACACGAAAACTAATTCTGCTTCAGCATGACCCGGTTAGTAGGTGTCTATCAACATGCTGAAATCTGATTGGTTGTTTTTTTTTACTGACTAACACATGGTATAGCTAATCAATATGTTTACAAATTAAATTCTGACTTGATATACCCTTCGTGCTAGTCTGTGTGTTATACATGTCAGGTTCAAAATGATAGTACACATTCCCTTACTCTGCTCCCATGTAACCTTGACCTTTCAATAAAACAAACAAAAATTGTAAAAAAAATAAATAAAGAAGCAGCCTTTAATGATTTCACCTATTTTGATAGGATTCATAAGCTGTATAAGGTTAGCACATACATACAATCATAGAGACGGTGACAACAAGTAACTTTCAAGTTCACCAAGTATCAGGGATAATTTGTTTACATAATTAAGTAGTAGTGATCTTTATCCTGGCATGTTTATTAAAGATTAGCATAAAAGTACACACGCAGACAATATACAACAATACAAAAGACAGTAATAATAATAATACTTATTACGAGTTGCTCACGGACTGAAATCAGTTAGAGAACCATTGAAAACCAAGGAGTACTGGCCATCTGCTGTTTCATCCTCGTTTGGGAATTATCGGCAGTACACACCCACAGCCGGGGTTCGAATCCAGGACCTTCCGGTTACAAGGCCAGCAAGCTCGTATACCATTCAGCCACTGAGACCCGATTCAATGGCCACCAGCCCATGAATTCTAACTTCTACCAATCCGTGATCAACTCGTAAAAACATAACTAACCCTTACAAACCAAACTATAGAAAATAATACTTTTCAGACAAAG